TTAAAATAATGGGTTTTTCCACATGCCCTGTAAATACAGCCTGGGTTTGCCTCAGGGGACAGTGTCTGTAGTGTTTACCATAAGCCCATCCCTTATGGCGCTGGTTGTGACACAGTATTGCTGGACTTTGCTTATCTTTCTGTGTTCGTTGGAATGTACGCGTCATTGGTTCTTGTGCTGGAATCCGCTCTGTCGTCATTGGTCCTTTTCTGTTAAAGGGAAAGCTGAATGGAGAGATCCAGAACCCCAGCGCTCCTGACTTCGTCCATTTTCTCTTCTCTACTCTGGATAAGGCGAGTGTCTTCTAAGCAACTATCAGGATTTAAATGTATTTCTGTCGGTCTGTGCTACTTCTCTCAGAGACATCACACTGTTTCTAAATGACTGGATAGAGAGGTCTGATTCAAGCAGCCATGAAACCATTAGAGAAGGACAGTTCTGGTTTCCCAGACCCAGATTATGCCCATCTCTCCGTCCTGTCCTTATCACTGTTCTCTATCCAGTTGGTGGCCCACTGCCCGCCAGACCTGCCCCCCTCAGTCCTGACCCCCCTGCTAACAGAGCCAGCCCTCACCCTGCTCAGCCAGGTGGTCACCCCAGAGGAAGACCGGCTGTGGAGGGCCCTTGGAGACAGCTGGAACGTCCCCAGGTCAGAGGCCTTTAAACCCCCTATTACAACTTCCAGTGTCCCCTATCTCCCCCTCTGACTACCCCCCCCCCCCCCCCCTCTGACTACCCCTACCCCCCCCTCTGACTACCCCTATCCCCCTTAACAACCCCTACCCTCTCTGACTACCCCTACCCCCTCTGACTACCCCATCCCCCCCTCTTACTATCCCTATGCCCCTCTGACTACCCCTATCCCCCCCTCTGACTAACCCATATCCCCCCCTATGACTACCCCTATCCCCCCTCTGACTACCCCTATCCCCCCCTCTGACTACCCCTATCCCCCCCTCTGACTACCCCTATCCCCCCTCTGACTACCCCTATCCCCCCCTCTGACTACCCCTATCCCCCCCTCTGACTACCCCTATCCCCTCCTCTGACTACCCCTATCCCCTCCTCTGACTACCCCTATCCCCCCTCTGACTACCCCTATCCCCCCCTCTTACTATCCCTATGCCCCTCTGACTACCCCTATCCCCCCCTCTGACTACCCCTATCCCCCCCTCTGACTACCCCTATCCCCCCCTCTTACTATCCCTATGCCCCTCTGACTACCCCTATCCCCCCCTCTGACTACCCCTATCCCCCCCTCTGACTACCCCTATCCCCCCTCTGACTACCCCTATCCCCCCATCTGACTACCCCAATCCCCCCCTCTGACTACCCCTATCCCCCCCTCTGACTACCCCTATCCCCCCTCTGACTACCACTATCCCCTCCTCTGACTACCCCTATCCCCCCCTCTGACTACCCCTATCCCCCCTCTGACTACCCCATCCCCCCCTCTGACTACCCCTATCCCCCTCTGACTACCCCTGTCCCCCTCTGACTACCCCTATCCCACCTTCTGACTACCCCTATCCCCCCTCTGACTACCCCTATCCCCCCCTCTGACTACCCCTATCCCCCCCTCTGACTACCCCTATCCCCCCCTCTGACTACCCCTATCCCCCTCTCTGACTACCCTATCCCCCCCTCTGACTACCCCATCCCCACCTCTGACTACCCCTATCCCCCCCTCTGACTACCCCTATCCCCCCCTCTGACTACCCCTATCCCCCCCTCTGACTACCCCTATCCCCCTCTGACTACCCCTATCCCCCCTCTGACTACCCCTATCCCCCCTCTGACTACCCCTATCCCCCTCTGACTACCCCTATCCCCCTCTGACTACCCCTATCCCCCCTCTGACTACCCCTATCCCCCCCTCTGACTACCCCTGTCCCCCTCTGACTACCCCTATCCCCCTTAACTACCCCTACCCCCTCTGACTACCCATATCTCCACCTTAACTACCCATATCTCCCCCTCTGACTACCCCTACCACCTCTGACTAATCCATCCCCCTTACATTTACATTTACATTTTAGTCATTTAGCAGACGCTCTTAACCAGAGCGACTTACAGGAGCAATTAGGGTTAAGTGCCTTGCTCAAGGGCACATTAACGTCATTTAGCAGACGCTCTTAGCCAGAGCGACTCACAAATTGGTGCGTTCACCCTATAGCCAGTGGGATAACCACTTTACAATTTGGGGGGGGGGGGGGGGGTTAGAAGGAATACTTTAGCCTATCCCAGGTATTCCTTAAAGAGGTGGGGTTTCAAATGTCTCCGGAAGGTGGTGAGTGACTCCGCTGTCCTGGCGTCGTGAGGGAGCTTGTTCCACCATTGGGGTGCCAGAGCAGCGAACAGTTTTGACTGGGCTGAGGGGGAGCTGTGCTTCCGCAGAGGAAGGGGAGCCAGCAGGCCAGAGGTGGATGAACGCAATGTCCTCGTTTGGGTGTAGGGACTGATCAGAGCCTGAAGGTACAGGGGTGCCGTTCCCCTCACTGCTCCAAAGGCAAGCACCATGGTCTTGTAGCGGATGCGAGCTTCAATTGGAAGCCAGTGGAGTGTGCGGAGGAGGGGGGTGACGTGAGAGAACTTGGGAAGGTTGAACACCAGACGGGCTGCGGCATTCTGGATGAGTTGTAGGGGTTTAATGGCACAGGCAGGGAGCCCAGCCAACAGCGAGTTGCAGTAGTCCAGACGGGAGATGACAAGTGCCTGGACCAGGACCTGCGCCGCTTCCTGTGTAAGGCAGGGTCGCACTCTCCGAATGTTGTAGAGCATGAACCTGCAGGAGCGGGTCACCGCCTTGATGTTGGCGGAGAACGACAGGGTGTTGTCCAGGGTCACGCCTAGGCTCTTCGCACTCTGGGAGGAGGACACAGCGGAGTTGTCTACCGTGATGGCGAGATCATGGAACGGGCAGTCCTTCCCGGGGAGGAAGAGCAGCTCCGTCTTGCCAGGGTTCAGCTTGAGGTGGTGATCCGTCATCCATACTGATATGTCTGCCAGACATGCAGAGATGCGATTCGCCACCTGGTGATCAGAAGGGGGAAAGGAGAAGATTAGTTGTGTATCGTCAGCGTAGCAATGATAGGAAAGGCCATGTGAGGATATGACAGAGCCAAGTGACTTGGTGTATAGGGAGAAAAGGAGAGGGCCCAAAACCGATCCCTGGGGGACACCAGTGGTGAGAGCACGTGGTGCGGAGACAGCTTCCCGCCACGCCACTTGGTAGGAGCGACCGGTCAGGTAGGACGCAATCCAGGAGTGAGCCGCGCCGGAGATGCCCATTTCGGAGAGGGTGGAGAGGAGGATCTGATGGTTCACAGTATCAAAGGCAGCAGACAGATCTAGAAGGACAAGAGCAGAGGAGAGAGAGTTAGCTTTAGCAGTGCGGAGAGTCTCTGTGACACAGAGAAGAGCAGTCTCAGTTGAATGACCAGTCCTGAAACCTGATTGGTTTGGATCAAGAAGGTCATTCTGAGAGAGATAGCAAGAGAGTTGGCTAAAGACGGCACGCTCAATAGTTTTGGAAAGAAAAGAAAGAAGGGATACTGGTCTGTAGTTGTTGACATCAGTGGGGTCGAGTGTTGGTTTTTTGAGAAGGGGAGTAACTCTCGCTCTCTTGAAGACGGAAGGGACATGGCCAGCGGTCAAGGATGAGTTGATCAGCGAGGTGAGGTAGGGGAGAAGGTCACCGGAGATGGTCTGGAGAAGGGAGGAGGGGATGGGGTCAAGCGGGCAGGTTGTTGGGCGGCCTGCAGTCACAAGTCGCAGGATCTTATCTGGAGAGAGAGGGGAGAAAGAAGTCAAAGCATAGGGTAGGGCAGTGTGAGCAGGACCAGCAGTGTCATTAGGCTTAACAAACAAGGATCGGATGTCGTCAACCTTCTTTTCAAAGTGGTTGACGAAGTCATCCACAGAGAGAGAGGAGGGGGGGAGGGGGGGGGGGAGGATTCAGGAGGGAGGAAAATGTGGCAAAGAGCTTCCTAGGGTTAGAGGCAGATGCTTGGAATTTAGAGTGGTAGAAGGTGGCCTTAGCAGCAGAAACAGATGAAGAAAATGTAGAGAGGAGGTAGTGAAAAGATGCCAGGTCGGCAGGGAATTTAGTTTTCTTCCATTTCCGCTCCGCTGCCCGGAGCTCTGTTCTGTGAGCTCGCAATGAGTCATCAAGCCACGGAGCTGGAGGGGAGGACCGAGCCGGCCGTGAGGATAGGGGACACAGAGAGTCAAAGGATGCAGAAAGGGAGGAGAGGAGGGTTGAGGAGGCAGAATCAGGAGATTGGAGGGAGAAGGATTGAGCAGAGGGAAGAGATGATAGGATGGAAGAGGAGAGAGTAGTGGGAGAGAGAGAGCGAAGGTTGCGGCGGCGCATTACCATCTGTGTAGGGGCAGAGTGAGTAGTGTGGGAGGAGAGTGAGAGAGAAAAGGAAACAAAGTAGTGGTCGGAGACTTGGAGGGGAGTTGCAGTGAGATTAGTAGAGGAGCAGCATCTAGTGAAGATGAGGTCAAGCGTATTGCCTGCCTTGTGAGTAGGGGGGGATGGTGAGAGGGTGAGGTCAAAAGAGGAGAGGAGTGGAAAGAAGGAGGCAGAGAGAAATGAGTCAAATGTGGACATAGGGAGGTTGAAATCCCCCAAAACTGTGAGGGGTGAGCCATCCTCAGGGAAGGAACTTATCAAGGCGTCAAGCTCATTGATGAACTCTCCAAGGGAACCTGGAGGGCGATAGATGACAAGGATATTAAGCTTAAATGGGCTAGTGACTGTGACAGCATGGAATTCAAATGAGGAGATAGACAGATGGGTTAGGGGAAAAATTGAGAATGTCCACTTGGGAGAGATGAGGATTCCTGTACCACCACCCCTCTGACCAGATGCTCTCGGGGTATGCGAGAACACATGGTCAGACGAGGAGAGAGCAGTAGGAGTAGCGGTGTTTTCAGTGGTGATCCATGTTTCCGTCAGCGCCAGGAAGTCGAGGGACTGGAGGTTGGCATAGGCTGGGATGAAGTCAGCTTTGTTGGCAGCAGAACGGCAGTTCCAGAGGCTGCCTGCGACCTGGAACTCCACGTGGGTGGTGCGTGCAGGGACCACCAAATTGGAGAGGCAGCAGCCACGCGGTGTGGTGCGTTTGTGTAGCCTGTGCAGAGAGGAGAGAACAGGGATAGGCAGAGGCATAGTTGACAGGCTGTAGCAAATGGCTACAAAAATGCAGAGGAGATCGGAATGAAATGGGCTAAGCATCTGGGAGTGGAGAGAGCAGGGCCTCCCTCACCAAATCTTCTAGCTCGGAAACTAAAATTGTTTCACTGAACCACCCGAACAAAAACTCTCCCAACTTCCGCCTTTGGAAATCAGAATTGTTGTGAACCACAGCGGTTCAATGTTTAAAGGAGTAGACTCAACCCACTTTGTTCAGCTAGCCAACTATGACTCCATAGCCAACTAGCAGACTAGCATCCAATAACAATAACACACCGTTTAGCGCCAACACTTGGTCACAACAAACCACCAATATTGTGATATCACACTAAACAGATCATTCGTGTCTGTGTCAAGTTCCTTATATGACGCAGCAATGATTAGACGTTGGCTAGCTAGGACAAGTAAATTGTGGTTAGCTACTACAGTACAGCCAAATGGTCATGTTGGGTAGCTAGCAATGGCCACTGTGTCGACTCTGTTTGAAGAACGGCTAGCTAGCTAGCTTCGTGCTACAGCTGGCACGGCCGAGGACACTGCCAAGACACAGTAACTACCCACAACAACCCACGAAGCCTAGCTATGACGCCGTAGCCAACCTGCAAGCTAGCATCCATTAACACACAACTTAGCATCAACACCTGGCCACAACAAACTGCCAAGAGTGTGTTGTGGCCAAGGACATTTCTAAGTGACCCCAAACTTTTGAACGGTAGTGTAATACTGTATTCTATTCTACTGTATTTTAGTCAATGCCACTCCGACATTGCTCGTCCTAATATTTATATATTTCTTAATTCCATTCTTTTACTTTTAGATTTGCGTGTATTGTTGTGAATTGTTAGATACTACTGCACTGTTGGAGCTAGGAACAAAAGCATTTCCCTACACCCACGATAACATCTGCTAAATATGTATGTGACCAATACAATTTGATTTGATTTAACGTAACAACATGTGGAAAAAGTCAAGGGGTCTGAATACTTTCTGAATGCACTGTATGTATGTATCAAGGTGACATCTAGATGGTTATCAATATTAGTTATTTCTTGTGTAGGCTACTTTCTACTTGAAATAATGTTAGAGAAAAAATTTTGCCATGTAGTTACCGCCGGCGACACTTCCATGATACCCAGTAGGAAGCGCTTCAAGTCGGCAAGCAGAACACCGGAGTACTGGTCGCCGGTTTACTATCGACTCGTAGTGCAGCCCAATCAGCCACGCAAAACGGTCTTGAGTGGCAACAAATCTACACAATTAGCTGATTCGGTTTCCATACACCCACACCTTCCGACACACCCACTCGCCCATACTCCGGTTGCCATAGTGGGCTGCAGCGACCCATTTTAACTACCCCTACTCCCCCGACCACCCCATCCCCCCCTCTGACTACCCTATCCCCCCCCTCTGACTACCCCTATCCCCCCTCTGACTACCCCTATCCCCCTCTGACTACCCCTATCCCCCTCTGACTACCCCTATCCCCCCCTCTGACTACCCCTATCCCCCCTCTGACTACCCCTATCCCCCTCTGACTACCCCTATCCCCCTCTGACTACCCCCATCCCCCTTAACTACCCCTACTCCCCCGACCACCCCATCCCCCCCTCTGACTACCCTATCCCCCCCTCTGACTACCCCTATCCCCCCTCTGACTACCCCTATCCCCCCTCTGACTACCCCTACTCCCCCCCTCTGACTACCCCTATCCCCTCCTCTGACTACCCCCATCCCCTTAACTACCCCTACCCCCCGACCACCCCCATCCCCCCCTCTGACTACCCATATCCCCCTCTGACTACCCCTATCCCCCCCCTCTGACTACCCCTATCCCCCTCTGACTACCCCTATCCCCCCCCTCTGACTACCCCTATGCCCCTCTGACTACCCCATCCCCCTCTGACTACCCCCCCTCTGACTACCCCTATCCCCCCCTCTGACTACCCCCTATCCCTCCCTCTGACTACCCCTATCCCCCCTCTGACTACCCATATCCCCCTCTGACCTAATCCTATCCCCCCTCTGACTACCCCTATCCCCCCCTCTTACTAATCCTATCCCCCCTCTGACTACCCCTATCCCCCCTCTGACTACCCCCCCCACCCCCCCCCCTCTCTGACTACACCTATCCCCCCCACTGACTACCCCTATCCCCCCCTCTGACTACCCCCATCCCCCCCTCTGACTACCCCCATCCCCCCCCTCTGACTACCCCTATCCCCCCTCTGACTACCCCTGTCCCCCTCTGACTACCCCTATCCCCCCTCTGACTACCCCTATCCCCCTCGAACTACCCCTGTCCCCCCCTCTGACTACCCCTGTCCCCCTTCTGACTACCCCTATCCCCCCCTCTGACTACCCCATCCCCCCCCTCTGACTACCCCCATCCCCCTCTGACTACCCCTATCCCCCCTCTGACTACCCCTATCCCCCCCTCTGACTACCCTATCCCCCCCCTCTGACTACCCCTATACCCCCTCTGACTACCACTATCCCCCCTCTGACTACCCCTATCCCCCCCTCTGACTACCCCTATCCCCCCCTCTGACTACCCCTATCCCCCTCTGACTACCCCTATCCCCCCTCTGACTACCCCTATCCCCCCCTCTGACTACCCCTATGCCCCTCTGACTACCCCTACTCCCCCAACTACCCCATCCCCCCCTCTGACTACTCCTATCCCCCCCCTGACTACCCCTATCCCCCCTCTGACTACCCCATATCCCCCTCTGACTACCCCTATCCCCCCTCTGACTACCCCTATCCCCCCCTCTGACTACCCCCATCCCCCCCTCTGACTACCCCCCATCCCCCCCTCTGACTACCCCCCATCCCCCCCTCTGACTACCCCTACTCTCCCGACTACCCCTATCCCCCCCCTGACTACCCCTACTCTCCCGACTACCCCATCCCCCCCTCTGACTACCCCTATCCCCCCTCTGACTACCCCTATCCCCCCCTCTGACTACCCCTATCCCCCCCTCTGACTACCCCTATCCCCCCCTCTGACTACCCCTATCCCCCCTCTGACTACCCCTATCCCCCTCTAACTACCCCTATCCCCCCTCTGACTACCCCCATCCCCCCCTCTGACTACCCCTATCCCCCCCTCTGACTACCCCTATCCCCCCCTCTGACTACCCCTATCCCCCCCTCTGACTACCCCTATCCCCTCTGACTACCCCTATCCCCCCCTCTTGACTACCCTATCCCCCTCTCTGACTACCCCTATCCCCCTCTGACTACCCCTATCCCCCCCTCTGACTACCCCCCCTTGACACCATCCCCCCTCTGACTACCCCTATTCCCCCCCTCTGACTACCCCCTATCCCCCCCTCTGACTACCCCTATCCCCCCTCTGACTACCCTATCCCCCCCTCTGGACTACCCCTATCCCCCCTCTGACTACCCCATCCCCCCCTCTGACTACCCCTATCCCCCCCTCTGACTACCCCCTATCCCCCCCTCTGACTACCCCTATCCCCCCCTCTGACTACCCCCACCCCCCCCTCTGACTACCCCTATCCCCCCTCTGACTACCCTATCCCCCTCTGACTACCCCTATCCCCCCTCTGACTACCCCCCATCCCCCCCTCTGACTACCCTATCCCCCCTCTGACTACCCCCACCCCCCCCCTCTGACTACCCCTATCCCCCCCTCTGACTACCCCTATCCCCCTCTGACTACCCCTATCCCCCTCTGACTACCCCTATCCCCCCCTCTGACTACCCCTATCCCCCTCTGACTACCCCTATCCCCCCCTCTGACTACCCCTATCCCCCCTCTGACTACCCCTATCCCCCCCTCTGACTACCCCTATCCCCCTCTGACTACCCCTATCCCCCCCTCTGACTACCCCTATCCCCCTCTGACTACCCCTATCCCCCTCTGACTACCCCTATCCCCCCCTCTGACTACCCCTATCCCCCTCTCTGACTACCCCTATGCCAGGGTCATTAACAAGTCATAAGAGATTTTCATAACCTTCTGCATAAATGGAGTTAAAAAAATGACTTGGTTGTTGAGTGGTCCGACTAGCTCAATTAGCGGCTATGACTTGAGCAAAGGTCAAAAGATACGCATCTATAATGTCTAACAACTAGCAGCATGCCAAATAAACAATTTGGTTCCTATAGTAACAGATATCTGGGTTGGTTTACTTGTAAGGTACAGCATTTAACCAGACCTGGGTTCAAATAGTATTTGTTTTCTATCAATTACTTAGAAGTTTGATTGAGCCAGCCTGGTTTGCAGGGTCAGCAACTAGACAGCGTTGTGATTGGTTTTCAGTAGGAGGTGTTCATTGGTTTCCTGTGTGTTTGTTTTACCAGGTCCAAATGGCCAGATGGTCACATGATCCCACCCTACCACCCAGAATTCTATGATGGTTGGCAGCTGCCCATGCCTGTGCCACCGGCAGCCAATCAGGGCCTGAGCAGGAGCAACAGCCAGCACTTCCCCCCCAGAGAGGAAATTATGCAACAGATGCCTGATGAGGTAAAAAAATAAAAAAAAATAAACAATTAACAAATTCTAAAGATATGCCATATGCATTTCAATATTTTGTTAAAGCAGTGAAAGGCCTGAATCCTAATTCGAACTACAGTTAAATGTATCACATTTTTGCTCCAATCTGCCCATGACATTAATCATGATTTCCACAAAATTCAAAGTTATGTGCGGTTTTCTGAAATCAGGATTCAGCCTTAAGAAGCATTTGTTATACAGTATATCAGGGATATCCAAATCTTACCCTGAAGATCCGGAGTACTGCTGGTTGTCTGTTCTACCTGATCATTAATTGCACCCACCTGGTGTCTCAGGTCTAAATCCCTCCCTGATTAGAGGGGATGAATGGGAAGAAAAAAAAGCATTGAATTTGAGGGCTAGCCCAATGTTATGAGGAGTTTCTCTTTGATCTCGTACTTCAGGATGTAAGAGAATATTTAAACACTTAGATGGAGAGTTGATTCATAGTTATTTAATTGTTGCAGTACTGGATTTCATATGACAGGCGGTACGGGCTTAGCCTCTTGTCATCCGAATGACTTGCATAGAAGAATCTCTCAGTTTATATAATGCTTCCCGAGCTACTTCCATCCCACAGTTGCCAACCATTATTGAGTGTCACTCATCTCCTACAATAGGATCCCCCTACATGGTATCGTGTGGCACCATAGCCCTTCCACCACGTACTCCTTCTAAGATTAGCACAAGTGGCCCCCCAATCTATCTTGGCACGCCGACCTTCTCACAAGTGGCCCCCCCAATCTATCTTGGCACGCCGACCTTCTGTCACCCACCAGTGACATCACTAACACATGGCGTGCCCTTGTCCTCTCTATATGAGATCAACGACATTAACCAATACTGTATAATATACGCCATGTGTTAGTGATGTCACGGATGGGTGACAGAAGGTCGGCGTGCCAAGATAGATTGGGGGCCACTTGTGAGAAGGTCGGCGTGCCAAGATAGATTGGGGGCCACTTGTGAGAAGGTCGGTGTGCCAAGATAGATTGGGGGCCACTTGTGAGAAGGTCGGCGTGCCAAGATAGATTGGGGGCCACTTGTGAGAAGGTCGGCGTGCCAAGATAGATTGGGGGCCACTTGTGAGAAGGTCGGCGTGCCAAGATAGATTGGGGGCCACTTGTGCTAATCTTAGAAGGAGTACGTGGTGTAAGGGCCTGGCTATGGTATATGTCACCTATATATCATGATCTTACTGTAATCCCTCTGTCCTCTCAGGGCAGGAGCAACAGCCATTACATACAGCGGCCTGAGGAGGTAAGACTGACTGGGACAAGTCCATCCAACATCCATTAAACTCTATCTTATTGTTGCAATATAGATTTCTAATTTCTTTCTTTTTGTGACCTTCATCACAGCCCATGATGAATTCTCCACCACCTTCACATCCCATGATGAACTCTCCACCACCTTCACATCCCATGATGAACTCTCCACCACCTTCACAGCCCATGATGAACTCGCAGTGGAATTCTCCACCACCTTCACAGCCCATGATGAACTCGCAGTGGAATTCTCCTCCACCTTCACAGCCCATGATGAATTCTCCACCACCTTCACATCCCATGATGAACTCGCAATGGAATTCTCCACCACCTTCACAGCCCATGATGAACTCGCAATGGAATTCTCCACCACCTTCACAGCCCATGATGAACTCGCAGTGGAATTCTCCTCCACCTTCACAGCCCATGATGAATTCTCCACCACCTTCACAGCCCATGATGAACTCGCAGTGGAATTCTCCACCACCTTCACAGTAAGCTAGAGCATCACTAAAAACAGCTATACTGTTTGATGATATCCTCCAGTGGCGATTTTAGCATGTACATCTTGGTGGTGCAAACTACACAACACAGCACTAAACAATACATGAATTGCACTAAAACGGTGACAAACGGTGCCCACAAACTGTCAGGGCCTACATAAAGCTGTTCCAACACCTTACCACTGCTACATCTGGCTATCAGCGGAGCCTTGTCTGGCAGCGAAACAGTCAATTCAGCCTCATTTACTGCCTTAAAAAAAAAACATAGCTGATATGGCTGACTTGCTTAAACAAATGTGGTTCCTACTGACAATTGAGATGTACAAACTATGGCATAAAAATTTTAGCTAAACAGGTGTGGCTCACCTGCCCTGAATGACGGGTCGCCACTGATATCCTCAGTAATTCCATAGTGTGTAAAAATCATTGTACTGTATCACATTTTCTTAGAGGCCCTTTTCATTGCTATAACATTGTAATTATATAGCTATTCTATTGCTATTACATTGTTACTACATTGTGTTGCTCCGTCTCCTTTGCATTGATATTACATAGTTACTACATTGTGTTGCTCCGTCTCCTTTGCATTGATATTACATAGTTACTACATTGCTATAACATTGTTAATCTCCTTTCCCACCCCAGTGAGCCGGCCCCAGTGAGGATGCGTGTGATCTATGACTTCGTGGCCAGGAACCACCAGGAGCTGAGCATTATGAAGGGAGAGGTGGTCCAGGTGGGTTAGGGTTGGGGTTGAACCACCAGGAGCTGAGCATTATGAAGGGAGAGGTGGTCCAGGTGGGTTAGGGTTGGGGTTTGGGTTGAACCACCAGGAGCTGAGCATTATGAAGGGAGAGGTGGTCCAGGTGGGTTGGGGTTTGGGTTGAACCACCAGGAGCTGAGCATTATGAAGGGAGAGGTGGTCCAGGTGGGTTAGGGTTGGGGTTTGGGTTGAACCACCAGGAGCTGAGCATTATGAAGGGAGAGGTGGTCCAGGTGGGTTGGGGTTTGGGTTGAACCACCAGGAGCTGAGCATTATGAAGGGAGAGGTGGTCCAGGTGGGTTAGGGTTGGGGTTTGGGTTGAACCACCAGGAGCTGAACATTATGAAGGGAGAGGTGGTCCAGGTGGGTTGGGGTTTGGGTTGAACCACCAGGAGCTGAGCATTATGAAGGGAGAGGTGGTCCAGGTGGGTTGGGGTTTGGGTTGAACCACCAGGAGCTGACATTATGAAGGGAGAGGTGGTCCAGGGGGTTGGGTTGGGGTTTGGGTTGAACCACCAGGAGCTGAACATTATGAAGGGAGAGGTGGTCCAGGTGGGTTAGGGTTGGGTGTTGAACCACCAGGAGCTGAACATTATGAAGGGAGAGGTGTCCAGGGGGTGGGGTTGGTTGAACACCAGGAGTGAACATTATGAAGGGAGAGGTGGTCCAGTGGTTGGGGTTGGTTGAACACAGAGTGGCAGGATAGTCCAGGTGAATGGACATCAACAATCATAGCAGTAAATAATAATAATAATAATAATAATATGCCATTTAGCAGACGCTTTTATCCAAAGCGACTTACAGTCATGCGTGCATACATTTTTACGTATGGGTGGTCCCGGGGATCTAAATGTCCAATCCAAACCAGAATCAAAACAACAAAATAGATTTAAAAGTGGTTTTCAATATTATAAAAATATGTCAATGAAACAAGTATCTTGTTGACAGACTTTATGTAAGATTAGGTTCTGGGTGCTGAGATTAGTGTCAAATAAATTCTTAGTTGTTTATAGGAGAGCTTGCATTATAGTCATGTTTGGTGTGTTTATACACGGGAAACTGTCGAGCGTGAAAAACCCAGCAGCGTTGCAGTTCTTGACACACTCAAACCGGTGCGCCTGGCACCTACTACCATACCCTGTTCAAAGGCACTTAAATATTTTGTCTTGCCCATTCACCCTCTGAATGGCACACATACACAATCCATGTCTCAGTTGTCTCAAGGCTTAAAAATCCTTCTTTAACCTGTCTCCTCCCCTTCATCTACACTGATTTGAAGTGGATTTAACAAGTGACATCAAATAGCACTGCTGGGTGATTTGATGTCATAGTCATTCGATCAATAATTTAATAATAGTCTTAGCAAAGGTGTTTATCTTTCATTTACAATCTGTAGAAACTATGAGAATGGAAAGGTTCAGAACTTTTGTGAAACATCACAGCACAGTGGGAAAAAAATATGGCAGCTAGAAATCAAAACTGGATGGTCTTCAGAGATAAATGGGAGGGGTTGAGGGGAGCTGAAGGGTGGGACTAAAAATAATGAGATAACTAAAGTAAAATATATTGTCCGTGAAATGTATATAGTATGTATAAGCTGGAAGTGGGAGCCTAAGTATTATTGTCCATTAGTTTACTCTAGTTAGGGGAGGGGTGGTAGGGTTAGGGGAAAAATAATGAAGATGGAAAATATATATATAAAAATATACAGTACCAGTCAAAAGTTTTAGAACACCTACTCATTCCGAGGTTTTTCTTTATTTTTACTATTTTTTACACTGTAGAATAATAGTGAAGACATCAAAACTATGAAATAACACATATGGAATCATGTAGTAACCAAAAGCCTTGAAGTTTGGTAGCCACCCTATTGCCTTGATGACAGCTTTGCACACTGGAACTAGCCCGAACCATGAAAAACAGCCCCAAACAGTGCCACCAAACTTTACAGTTAGCACCATGCATTCTCCTGGCATCCGCCAAACCAAGTGACATCAATAAGGGATCATAGCGTTCACCTGGTTAGTCTGTCATCGGTGTTCCTAATGTTTTGTACACTCAGTGTATGTTTTTTTTGTTTTTCTTCTTCTAGGTAGTGGACAAGTCAGGGCAGTGGTGGAGAGTCCGTAATGAACGTGGTGAGGAGGGTCATGTTGCCAAGAATGTTCTGGAGCCACTGGATGGAGGAGAACCCTGGGATGAGGGCCAGGAGGTGCGCTCCCCTCCATCACTCAACATGCAGTCCAGCCCTGCAGATGTGAAAGCATGGCTGGAGTACAAGTCCTTCTCCAAAATGTAAGACATCACATGCACACCATTTTTTTTTTTTTAAACCACAGACCGACAAGCTACTGAGGGAGAAGCAAGATATGGTGTTTTCTCCTTACATTAAAACTAGCACTGTCAAACTAGTCTCAGCGAGCAGGGGCATGATACGGACTAGAACACGTCTACAGACCGGAGGTGGAGGAACACTGCTAAACAAAGTTTCACTGCTATGGATGACCGAGGTTGAGACGTTCGATTTGTTCATGAAGGCTTTATAACGGCTCTGTGTTGTCACACTAGAACTGTTCGTAGCCTGGCCGTGCTGAACGGTGCCCTACTCCTGGGGATGTCCAGAGATGAGATGAGGACGGTGTGTCCAGAGGAGGGAGGAAGAGTGTTCTTTCAGCTGCAGGCTATCAAGTCGTCCATAGCCGTGAGTGATAGTAGCATACACACGCACACAGAAATACGACACTGATCGAGCAAGCTGAAGTTATAGCTATCTAAGGGTTTGGGTTAATTCCGGGTCAATTCTACTAGACAACTCCCAAGATTAATGAAATGCAGTCTGTGAGGTGGAGATAAATGACAACCTTTCCTTTTCCCTCTTGTCGTCTGCAGCTTGCCAGTGAATCCAACGACTACGGCCCTTATAACGGTCGTTAGAAATAACCAAAGAGCCCGAGGGAGAAGAATAACTATTAAACATTTCATTTGTCCATTTATAGACGTCAGTACATCCCATAGAATGGTGTGGTGACTAAGCAAAACAATGAGTAGCCAAATAGATATGTACTTACTTTGTTAATTTTACTTAATACTTGTGAGCCCATGTTGGATTGTACAGTTTATTTTCAGCAATTCTGAATAGCCACATCCCAAGAATCAAGGGACAAATTGACAAGCTTCAAAGTGTCCTCAACATTCATACACTGTCCAATCAGATAAGCAATAGTTTCCTTTTGCACATTAATGTACTGTACTCTTATCATTAAACATTAAAACAAAATATAATTTTCTACTTCTTTAGTCATTTGCATAGTCGAGTAACATCCTGAAAATAAAGTGATTCACTGCTTCCTCACTGGAGGTGATAAGACTGCCATTTAATGAAAACAGGTTTATTAACACAAGGTTTGCAATTATAAAGCACTTCAAACATTTACGGTTTTCTGTTTCTAAAAAGGTACAAAACAAAATCACAATTCTGGACAGTAAGTGCTTTTAGCCATTCAAAATACCTAACATTACTTATCCCAAAGATTGGTTGAGTATTGGCATGGAGGCAGATTTACACAGGCAGCCCAATTCTGACATTTTGCCACTAAATGGGATCAGAGATCAGAATTGGACTGCCTGTGTAAACTCAACCTTAAGAGTAGCTAGTCTTTCTTCTATATCTAATAATATGATTGATGTGCTATTATGTTTTCTAGTCATTAGCCTCTTTACTCTTTCCTGTTGCCCCACTTGGCCATCTTGTTATTGACAGGAGTCTTCATGAAGCGGCTTGACTTCATGTAGGCTGCAATCTTCTCCAGAGCCTGTTGAGAAAGACAATACAGCTTCAGTCGGTGGAGTCAACAAAAGTTTGAGGCGGCGGGTATCATCTTATTCTGAGAATTCATTCTGCGTAGATCTTTTTTTTTTTTTATCCTTCAAATTGAAGGGGACCCTTCAGTTACAGGTCGTTAATAAAGACAGCAGGAGTTCTAATAATCCCCAGTATACAAAATGATAATGCTGACCTCGAAGCGGTCCACAAGTTCCTGTAGGTTCTTGAAGTCGTCCAGGCACTTGGCGTCAAACATTATATGTTGGTCCAAAAGCTCATACATGATGAAGTCCACAAAGGTGATCTGGTTGAGGGGGAGCAACAGAGCAACGATTTATTCTCCAGAGAGAATGTGAGCGTGTTCTCTCCTGGCTGGCACCATTGGTGCGTTAGCGTCTCATTAACAGTGCAGTGACTAGCCAATAGAAGTGTATCATACCTTGTCACCAGCAAACCACTTCCTGGTTCCTAGGAACTCTGAGAACTGCTTCAGTGTTCCGGGCAGTCTCTCCGTGTAGCCTGGCTTCATCTTGTCCTGAGGGAGAACAAAGGGAGAAGAGTTATACTCCAGACGATCCAGGGTCACTCAGTATCAGATGAGTCTTGGGAATGAAAAACTAGAACATAGGAAGGTATTGTACTGTTATGAAAATCGGTTGAGTAGCACTAGCACGAGGTCCCTATCGCGGGCTGCAAACCCAGATCGCCCTAACCACAATCAGGATGTCCCATTGGTACAGAAGGTAAGGCGCCCATCAACTGAGGTTTGAGAACTTATACTTGGGTAAAAACGGACGTTGGTGTGCTGCTAACGGTACATCTTCCTCCACTGTCCCCGTACAGGGCTGGAACTAGTAATCCTCTGCTCACAACACACGTGACTGCCCTCTAGGGGGCACAATTAATAGAATTTACATCGAAACGGCAATATCCATAGACAGGTTGGTTGTTTAACAACAAAACCGACACGTCTGCAACTGTGGGGGTTGGCTTAGATTGTTGACATGTAAACTATTTAGTAGCCTATGTTTATTGAAAATAAATGCATGATGCTGTTCTGGCTCGTGGTGGCCCTACGCCCTGTTAAGACCCTGTTGGGGTTTCCTTTATTTTGGTAGTTACATTTATATCACAAGTCAAATAGCAAAAATGTGGTCAAAAAATTGAAATCACAACTAAATGTTTTGCCCATATCGTGCAGCCCTACTGCCCTCCTTGACAATGTAACCACCATTAAAGCAGATAGCTCCATCGGCGACATTTCAAGCTAGCTGCGGAGTGATCTTATGGTATCTTCTTAGTGATGCTCCAGAGCTTTTGTATAATTTCAAAAGTAGTGCTCACGAGCCAAAACGATGTCCCCGAAAATTGTGCACCACATCATCCATTCCATACGATATGTTACGTCCTGCAAAAAAATGTATTTCTTACAATGTTACGAATTTGTAAGCGCTTTAAGATCCCGGATTGCATCTTTAAACTCTGTTACATTTGGTAGTGTCAGTATTGTAGGAGTCTTTGGAATGCTATATCATTTTTTTTTTTTTTTAAAGGGCAATGGTCAGTTCAAACTAAAAGTCCATAATGATGAAGTGAGGTGAAAGGTCAATGTCCAAGGCTGTGACTTACAAACTGTATTGTCGCCGACTATCAAGTGAGTCTTTGGAATGACATTCAAGAGGCCAGTCTGTGCAACGTGTTCTGGTCGTGACTTACAAAGTCTGTGTAGCACATCATCACAAAGCCGTTCCGGAAGTCCATCGCCTGATTCTCAAGAACGTCCACACGAACCTTCTCGTCTTCACTCTCCCCACCTACAATCCCACAAGAGAAGACATTAGAACATCTAAACTACAGAATAGAGATACGGCGACTCTGTGGTCTAGTCACATGGCTAGCTGTGTGTGTAAAGTGCTGTGTCATAGCCCTCTATACACGCCACCCTGAATTGCCCGATTTGATAAACTGACGGACAGTACCGAGGTTGTGCTTGCGTGCAATGTATCTCATGATGGCATTGCTCTGGACTATCTTCCGGTCTCCATCCTCCAGATAGGGAAGCTAGGGGGAAAACAAAGCAACAGTCACAGGGGGTATTGTGGCAGCAAATCAAATCAAATCAAATGCATCGGTCACATGGTTAGCAGAGGTTATAGCAAGTGTAGCCAAATGCTTGTGCTTCTAGTTCCGACAGTGCAGTAATATCTAAAACAGTTCCAAAACAAATATACAATACACACAAATCTAAGTAAAAGGAATGGAATAAGAATATATGGATGAGCAATGTCTTGTCAGAGCGGCATAGGCTAAGATGCAACACAGATAGTATGGAATACAGTATATACATATGAGATGGGTAATGCAAGATATGTAAACATTATTAAAGTGACTAGTGTTCCATTTATTAAAAGTGGCCAGTGATTTTCAAGTCTGTATGTAGGCAGCAGCGCCACTGTGCTAGTGATGGCTGTTTAACAGTCTGATGGCCTTGAGATAGAAGCTGTTTTTCAGTCTATCCGTCCCAGCTTTGATGCACCTGTACTGACCTCGCCTTCTGGATGATAGCGGGGTGAACAGGCAGTGGCGCGGGTGGTAGTTGTCTTTGATTATCTTTTTGGCCTTCTGGTGACATCGGGTGCTGTAGGTGTCCTGGAGGGCAGGTAGTTTGCCCCCCCCCCGGTGATGCGTTGTGCAGACCGCACCATCCTCTGGAGAGCCCTGCAGTTGCCGTACCAGGCATTGATATAGCTCGACAGGATGCTCTCAATTGTACATCTGTAAAGGTTTGTGGGTTCCTGAGGTTAAAGAGATGCTGATGCGCCAGGGAGGACAGGAGGGGGCTGAGCACGCACCCTTGTGGTGCCCCAGTGTTGAGGATCAGTGAAGTGGAGATGTTGTTTCCTACCTTCACCACCTGGGGGGCGGCCCGTCAGGAAGTCCAGGACCCAGTTGCACAGGGCGGGGTTCAGACCCAGGGCCTCAAGCTTAATGATGAGCTTGGAGTGTACTATGGTGTTGAAGGCTGAGCTATAGTCAATGAACAGCATTCTTACATAGGTATTCCTCTTGTCCAGATGGGATAGGGCAGTGTGCAGTGTGATGGCGATTGCATCTTCTGTGGATCTATTGGGGCGGTAAGCAAATTGAAGTGGGTCTAGGGTGACAGGTAAGGTAGAGGTGATTGGATCCTTGACTAGCCTCTCAAAGCACTTCATGATGACAGAGGTGAGTGCTACGGGGCGATAGTCATTTAGTTCAGTTACCTTTGCATTCTTGGGTACAGGAACAATGGTGGCCATCTTGAAGCATGTGGGAACAGCAGACTGGGATAGGGAGAGATTGAATATGTCCGTAAACACACCAGCCAGCTGGTCTGCGCATGCTCTGAGGACGCGGCTAGGAATGTCGTCTGGGCCCGCAGCCTTGCGAGGGTTAACACGCTTAAATGTCTCACTCACGTCGGCCACGGAGAAGGAGAGCCCACAGTTCTTGGTAGCTGGCTGTGTCGGTGGCACTGTGTTATCCTCAAAGCGGGCAAAGAACTTGTTTAGCTTGTCTGGCAGCAAGACGTCGGTGTCCGCGACATGGCTGGTTTTCCTATTGTAGTCCGTGATTGCCTGTAAACCCTGCCACATACATCTCGTGTTGGAGCCGTTGAATTGCGACTCCACTGTGTCTCGATATTGACGTTTTGCCTGTTTGATTGCCTTGCGGAGGCAACTTGCCATGGTTAAATGCGGTGGTTTGTGCTTTCAGTTTTTTGCGAATGCTGCCATCTATCCTCGGTTTCTGGTTAGGGTAGGTTTTAATAGTCACAGTGGGTACGACATCTCCTATACACTTCCTTATAAACCCACTCACTGAATCAGTGTATATGTCTATTATTCTCAGAGGCTACCCGAAACATATCCCAGTCCGCGTGATCAAAACAATCTTGAAGCGTGTATTCCGATTGGTCAGACCAGCGTTGAATAGTCCTTAGCATGAGTGCTTCCTGTTTGAGTTTCTGCCTAAAGGAAGGGAGGAGCAAAATGGAGTCGTGGTCAGATTTGCCGAAAGGAGGTCGGGGGAGGGCCTTGTATGCATAGCGGAAATGAGTGTAGCAGTGATCCAGTGTTTATCCAGCACGAGTGCTACAGTCAATATGCTGATAGAATTTAGGTAGCCTTTTTCTCAAATTTGCTTTGTTAAAATCCCCATCTACAATAAATGCAGCCTCAGGATATATGGTTTGCATAAAGTCCAGTGAAGTTCCTTGAGGGCCGTCGTGGTATCGGCTTGAGGGGGGATATACATGGCCGTAACAATAACCGAAGAGAATTCTCTTGGGAGATAATACGGTACGCATTTGATTGTGAGGAATTCTAGGTCAGGTGAACAAAATGACTTGAGTTCCTGTATGTTGTTACAATTACTGATGTATATTCTTTAATAAATTAGAAGATAAGAACTGGGTTAATCACGAACATTGAGTTAGAATTGTTTGTTACTGGGCTAGGAATTTTATTGGTGCATTTCACTGTGTGTGTGGGGGAGTAGAGAGGAAAACTGCCTTAGGGTTAAGGTGCTTTCTCTTACTTGAATCCATGGCTGCCTTTTGTCTCTCTCTTCAAACACAGTGAAGGGAGCGGCGCCAGGGTTGAATAGAGTTTGGGCTAGACCTTTGTCTCCTTGGTAACTCCTTGATTGATTACAGCTTGAGGGGGTGAGGTACAGGGGAGCGGGTGATTGGTTGGAGTAATAGTTCAGCCGTCCTCAGGGACAAAGGAAGTGGGCGGAGCAATAAAAGAGCGGGAAAACTGAAGAGGACTATATAAGATGGAGGGGGACCTTAAGAATGGGTGCTCCTCTGCAGACGAGTATCGGCTTTGTTGGAAACTTTAATAAAGTCATTTCTTGGTGCAACAAAAACTCTGTAAGACCTTATTAGTAATAAAGTATGGTAGTTCTTTTCCACAACATTACACCATGAGTCGTTAATCATGAAACAAACCCCTCACCCTTCTTCCCTGAGAGATGCTTATTCCTGTCGACGCGATGTACTGAGAACCCAGATGGCTGTATGGACGGGGAGAGTACATGCCGAGAGAGCCATGTTTCCGTGAAACAGAGGATGTTACAATCTCTGATGTCTCTCTGGGAAAGCAACCCTTGCCCTGATCTCGTCCACTTTGTTGTCCAGGGACTGGACATTAGCGAGTAATATACTCGGAAGCAATAGGAGGCGCGCACACCGCCCAAGTCCGACTAGGAGACCGCTCCGGCTGCCTCTCCTCCGTCGGCGCTGTTTTGGGTCGGCCTCCGGAATCAGTTCCAACGCCCTGGGTGGTGCGGACAAAGGCTGCCTCTCCTCCGTCGGTGCTGTTTTGGGTCGGCCTCTGGAATCAGTTCCAACGCCCTGGGTGGTGCGGACAAAGGCTGCCTCTCCTCCGTCGGTGCTGTTTTGGGTCGGCCTCTGGAATCAGTTCCAACGCCCTGGGTGGTGCGGACAAAGGCTGCCTCTCCTCCGTCGGCGCTGTTTTGGGTCGGCCTCCGGAATCAGTTCCAACGCCCTGGGTGGTGCGGACAAAGGCTGCCTCTCCTCCGTCGGTGCTGTTTTGGGTCGGCCTCTGGAATCAGTTCCAACGCCCTGGGTGGTGCGGACAAAGGCTGCCTCTCCTCCGTCGGCGCTGTTTTGGGTCGGCCTCCGGAATCAGTTCCAACGCCCTGGGTGGTGCGGACAAAGGATCCGCTTCGGGAAAGTTGTATTCCTGGTCGTAGTGTTTGTAAGTTGACGCCACTCGGATATCAAATAGTTCTTAACCGGCTGTATGTAATAACACTTAAGATTCTGAGCTAACAATGTAAGAAATAATACATTTAAAAAAAAAAAACTGCAAAGTTTCCTAAGGCCTAGAAGCGAGGCAGCCCTCTCGGTCGGTGCCGTTTGTATCGAGGTGTGTGTTTTGTGCGAGTCGTTGTTCAGCATATAACATGTAGGCTACTTACGTTTGGGAAGTCCATTCCCAGTTTGTGCTTCTCATCAAACCAGCAACTTTTGTCATAGTTTGGGGCTGCAGGAGACAGGAAGACAAAGTTAGAACTTAACGCAACTAATGTTCTCAACTTTATATTCCTCCCTTTAGGAATTCAACAAATTACTTTACCTTCTCCGCAAGTGTAGAACTCTTCCTCATATTTAGTGTCAGTGTACTCCAGGAGCAGGCGAATGGGCTGAGCAAGCTATTAGAAAGAAAATATGCCACAAATCAAAGTGTTCATACTGCAAGAGGGTGTCAGAGCATGGATGAAGACAGCGTGACTATACTATGACAATTTAAATAGCAGGTGTGTGCGTGAGAGAACTGAATCCAAAATATTTCATATTGACAATCTGATACACTGACACGTGGAGATTACGTTTGAACAAATTTCAGGTACACTGACATCACTTTTTTTCCCCCCAATCAGGCAAGCCCCTTGAGAATTTAACAAAGAAAACACGTGTTTGTTCTCATCAGATGCAAGTCGGCAATTCATAGTTACATAACACATATTTCTATTTGAGTCTTTGAAAATGTAACACAATAGCAATTACTCGATTCAAACAATTAGACATGTGCACTGCATTACAATAATTGTATCCAATTATTATTAACAGCTTGAAATCACGCCGAATATTGGAAACAGAGTACCCTACCCTAACCTACCGCGACCGGCACACAAACGAATGGAAAAACGCTGTTCATACAAACTGTGCAACTGAGTGCAGCAAAACAAGGAAGAATATGATTCCTTACCCCTCGAATATCCCAGTAAGCCAATTTCATTGCCATGTTGTACCTTCTCACGGTCAAGGTAGCACAGAATACAGCACCGAGTTTATTCTAACCACTCAGACGAGACAACAGAGTAGAAAGGAGTTCTCGCAGCAGGAAAGCGTGAATGAGCGAGTGGCTACGGTTGTCAGTCTTTCTACCGGAGCCTTCACGGTCTGGAGAGAAAGGTTACTGCTGTTCTGCCAGCAGCACAGGCGATGACGTCACTTGTGTACGGTAATCCCGCTTTTCAAAACGTTGCAACGTGGAGAACTCGTTCAAAGATATTGCATTTTAAATCAATGGCCACTTCTATTGTAACAACAAGACAATTAAATGAGTAATTTACGAAAACAAATAAAAACAACAAATGTATATAGGCTACCAACAATAAAAAAATACAATGTTGACACTGGTATGTTGACAATAATGGGCTGTAGAGAGAAAATCGAATCGATATTCCCAAAGTTTAGCATGTCTTTCTTATTTTGAATAAAAACGAATATCCAGCTGCTAAGAAACGTTAATCGAAAGGTTCATGTAACCGAGTCCAAGATGTGGGGTTTCAAATGTCTCCGTAAGGTGGTGAGTGACTCCGCTGTCCTGGCGTCGTGAGGGACCTTGTTCCACCAATGGGGACACCATGTATTTGATACCATTCCACAGATTCATACACGTTCAGTGTGTAAATAAGACAGCCAGGTGTTCTGAGGACAGCAATTAGTAATTTACATGAAGAAGAAAAAAAACAATACAGAAGACACCTTCGTCCAGTGACTCTTATGTGTAATGTCATGGAACTGAGAGTCATGATCAAGGGCTACATGTAGCCTACCTATTGCGGTTGTATTTCTACGTTTCTAATGTCTTTATTAATTGGGACAAAATTGGACAATGCTGTAGCAGTTTTTTTTTTTCTTCTTCATGTAAATTACTAATTGCTGTCCTCAGAACACCTGGCTGTCTTATTTACACACTGAACGTGTATGAATCTGTGGAATGGTATCAAATACATGGTGTCCCCATTGGTGGAACAAGGTCCCTCACGACGCCAGGACAGCGGAGTCACTCACCACCTTCCGGAGACATTTGAAACCCCACCTCTTTAAGGAACACCTGGGATAGGATACAGTAATCCTTCTAACCCCCCCCCCCCCTTACCCCACCCCACTGGCTATAGGGTGAATGCACCAATTGTAAGTCGCTCTGGATAAGAGCGTCTGCTAAATGACGTAAATGTAATGTAAATGTGTCCAGGTGTTATGAGCCGTTCTCCCCTCAGCAGCCTCCACTGGAATACTGTGGTATCTGTAGACACACCTCCATTTCAGTGATCTCCACCCTGAAAGAATAGCTTGCTGAAACATGCCTAAATTCAAGGTCAGAATACACAAAGAGAGAAAGGTTCCATTTACGTGCGCATAACTCAGGTCTGAATCGAACCCTATGTGTGCGTCATTTTGTGTGAAAATGATGACCCAAAAATGACATGCACAAAAATGTATGCACGCATGACTGTAAGTCGCTTTGGATAAAAGCGTCTGCTAAATGGCATATTATTATTATTATTATTATATTATTATTACATGAGTAAAAATTGAACAGCACAGATAAATATTTTACACAGACTTGTAAACTTTGACCGGGATTCAAGCTGATTGAGCCGACATTTGCAGTGTTTACTGTGAACGAGATTTCTACAAACGTGGCACTCCAGTCTCATTTTCACTTCAATTAACACCTGATTTACTTAACAAAGGCACATCTCAATAGGTGGTCCAGGTATATCATGACATAGCACAAGTGGGGGGTGGGCCTTGCCTCTTTGAATCCCCTACTTCTTAAAGTTTACAGTTGTGTCTAAAAAACAAAATTTTGGTCAAAATATGTTTTTTTTTTTTTTTTTTACCCTTTAGTGTATTTTACTGTATTTATAGCTGGGATATGACTTTTCAACAGGAAAAGTTCGAAAATCACTGGAGGACGGCTTTAAAAGCTGCATTGTCGACAACCGGCAATCAGAATGAATCCCGTTCCTTAGAGATTGCGAAATGAATCACCCACATCAACAACTGCAATGAATTCCTGCGTCTTAGAGACATTTATTTCTGAGATAAACAAACAAACAAACACCAAATATAAATCAACAGCAACTAATTAACCAAATCAGACGGCTTTTCAGTCAACAGTTATTGGGAAAGTAAATGCAAATAACAGTCATCCGTACAGTCTGAGGTGTGGAGTAAGTTTACCTTGGGCACGCAAGTCTGAAAAGCTACTATACGTCACTACTGGTAGTACAAAACTATTTTAGGTTTTTGCCACACATGCGGGCCTCCCGAGTGGCGCAGTGGTCTAAGGCACTGCATCGCATCGCCACTAGAGATTCTGGTTCGAATCCAGGCTCTGTCATAGCCGGCGGTGACCACGAGACCCATGGGCGGCGCACAATTGGCCCAGCATCGTCCAGGGTAGGGGAGGGAATGGCCGGCAGGGATGTAGCTCAGTTGGTAGAGCATGGCGTTTGCAACGCCAGGGTTGCGGGTTCGATTCCCACGAGGGGAGGTCAGTATGAAAAATAAAAAAATAATGTATGCACTAACTGTAAGTCGCTCTGGATAAGAGCGTCTGCTAAAATGAGTGTGTTCACCCTTCATTTGGGTCATGTTCCCAAGTTTTATGGAAACACAGACAAATCTATCAGTTACTGATTGTAAAACATGATGCAGTATCTCCATCATGGAGCTTTATTTGTATTGTAGGCTATATTTAGGACAATGGTCTGAGGTCAGATGTAGAGTTCACAGAGTGACATCATATGAAATGACATGATACAGTCACTGTAATGAAAGTCCATTGTCTGGATGAATCTGAGACAAATGATAAGTTACATTTTAGTCATTTAGCAGACACTCTTATCCAGAGCGATTTACAGGAGCAATTAGGGTTAAGTGCCTTGCTCAAGGGCACATTGACAGATTTTTCACCTAGTCAGCTCGGGGATTAGAACCAGCGACCTTTCGTTTACTGGCACAACGCTCTTACCCACTAAGCCACCTGTTTCCATAGTAGCAGCTCCAGTAAAGGGTCTTCACGCCACCCAGGTGGCGGGTAGCTTAGTGGTTAAGAGCGTTGTGCCAGTAACCGAAAGGTCACTGGTTCTAATCCCCGAGCCGACTAGGTGAAAAGTCTGTCGATGTGCCCTTGAGCAAGGCACTTAACCCTAATTGTTCCTGTAAATCGTTCTGGATAAGAGCGTCTGCTAAATGACTAAAATGTAAAACTAGCCTGACATGTTGTTTGGTATGTTAGCACAAACAGACTGGAATTCACCAGGCTAGTATAAATGCTTAAGAAATATATATATAGTTTTTTAAATTACTGGCAGAAAAATGTTGCATTCGAAAATAATATGTAGCCTATATTCACTTGCAAATAAATAAATACAGAAATTATATCACAGTGACAAGTAAAAATTTCACATTAAGAATGATGAAATCAAAGGTAAAATAGAAAGTCACGACATCGGATAGCGCAAAGCAAAACCTTAATCAAAAACAGGTCATTTTGACTGACAGGAATAGTTTCGTTCTCTAATACTGCATTGCCCAGGTCTCTTCCATGTCTCTCACACAGTTACATATATGGGTCAATATCACCATAAGGTGCCTTTGAGACTTCCCCATTTCCCCCCCAAAAAACTGAGATTTTCCATTGAACTTCATATTCATTGTATTAAGTATATGTTATGCTGTTAGAAATGCATATTGGTCAAGCTCCCACACTTTTTATAAATTAACTGCAAGCAGACAATTTACATGCAAACAGCAAAATATGTCCACCCTGTCATGGACAATTTCAAAGCAGAATAAATACATTGTAATTACATAGTGATTATAAAACGTACATTTTCAGAAAACTATTTAGTCACTTTCTCAACAAAATATTTTAGTTTATGGGAAAAGTATTTGAATAATAATGAAATTATGGCAAACTATTTGTTTCTCTATAAAATCTGCGAGAGTTGCACTTTCTTTTCTAAATAAAATCTAACAAAAAATATATCTGGTCAAACTTTCAAACAATACTATTTGGCCCTCATTTGTTTATAAAGGAATCACACAAAAGATTTTGCTAACTTGTGAAAATAATTTGTTTATTTTCATAGAACATGAAAATAACAGGGTGGACAGTGACATGACAGGGTGGACCCTGGGCATGACAGGGTGGACACGTTGTGAAATGTCATTGAATGGCCTCATAAATGCAAGGAACAATGCAAGAAAATGATGTAAAAAATGCCTTTTCCCATGTAGGGGGAAATTACAAGTTGAACAGACTGTTTTTGATCCACTCTACCTGCATGCAGCCACTGAATAAAGATGCCCAAAATGAGACATTAATGTGGCCTTCTAGCGTTAAACTCTGTACATCATTCTGCACAGTGAAAGTCAAACATTCAACTGTAGAACAAGAAGAAAAATGTTTTTTAAGTGGAGAACAGTTGATTTGAAAAAACTGAATATTACAGAAAGATCACTTGGACGCATCTCCAAACAGTCTCTCCCTTTCTGCAGAGACATGGCTCAGTTCTGCAGTTGCTGTTCCACATACTTCCATGCAGACACTTCAATCTGTACAGAGCGCTTGTTCAGAGCCTGTGGTTCTGGTATTAGGCAAAGTACCTGCCAGTCATGGTACCAACAGATGTCGTCCCGAAGACTTGGCCATTTGAACTTGTTTATGCCATGGCGTTGCATACACTTAACTTTCACACTGTGCCCTTCTGCATCCATGATGATACCTGGGTATGCTTCATTGTCATAATTAACGACGCACCACTCTCCAATGTGCTTTACCTCAATCATTTCTGGTCTCCTAGGATTATCTGGTGTCTTTCCACATGCTGGGGACTTGTCAGATGAAACAGGAACATTAGCTACAGTGACCTCTTAAAGGTTAAAGCAGGGGCAGTCCAAAACACCTTCCTCCCTTTTACACAGACATGAAATGTCTCTGTATTTCATTTGGCCGGGTGTCAGACTGATAGCTTGGTGGATTCTCATAGTGCCTTTTATGGCAGCTATTGCAGGTACCTCAGGCTTTGATTCAATATCCCTCTCTGGGATGAAGAACAGCTCGACAGATGTGTCCAGGCTTTTCAGCTTGTTATACAAGCTCTGGGCATCAGGAATGTCTCCTCCATGGGCTACAATCCGGTCTGCTGACCTCTTGAGGGCCCCACCCACACCGTCTGGTGCCCCCTTCCCATGATTAGCCTCAAAGAAATTCCACGTTATTTCTTTGAAGTCATACTTGTAGGGTTCCGTTGAGAGGTAGAAGAAATTTCCCTTTTGTCGATACTGCGTTGCAGGCCCATCGCTGAAAAAATGAAGTGTGCTGACTTCTTGATCTTCTCTGTCATCCACTGAGATAAACGAATGTTCTCTTCCCCAGGGGTTTTCAGCATCGGGTGACAAGTTAGGAGGCATTCACTGCACTCACCATAAGCACAGACCTTGGCTTTCGGGTCACACATGGTTGCTTCAGACATTTCCTCAATATTTCTTGAGGACAGTAACCCTTGGCTCTGCAAGGCATTGGCAATGAATTGCAAGTTCTCATGTTTTTTTGCAGAGACATGTGTCACGGTCAGAGGAAGAAGGGGTTACCACCCAAAAGGGTCTGAGACGGCAAAAGGAGGTGTATGACATTTGGCCAATTTGCTCAGAGAGAAACCTCCTATGCAAGTTCTTCATTGTATCAGTAAGCAACCACTTTTGCATTTTTTTCTTCAGCCGTGTGACTGTTTGTTTGCGGCCAGTTGTCATTCGACTAACATCATCTCGAAGAAAAAATGATGTAACGTTCTTCCTAATCTCATTTCGACTGAAGCACCTCCTCCCACGGTAGGTTAGATCCACAGGATACTTTGCTCTCTTCTTAGAGTAGCCAAAAGCAGTCTGGGCATGCTTTTGGAGTTTATACTTCTTAAGAATGTTTCCACTGACCACTTTTGCTATCAGCTGCTTCTCTCGGTTTGTTTTAGCATGTTCATATTTTCTTCTAATATCTTCAATCAGGGATGTATGGAAAAGAAGAGCTCTTTTGATGGGTGAATTCACTTTTTGATGTGCCAACAAAGCATTGACTTTTGTACGTGGTGATTTGGACGCACTTTCTTTCTTGGCCCGATAGTACCTCTTCTTATATTTCTCAGTTTTACTTTTCTCTTTTGTGAGCTGTGCCTCTAATATTTCGATCTGTTTTTTCAGTTTTCTCTTCGAACTCCTTCGAATGCTTTCCCCTTGACGCCGTTGCCTGAAACACAAAATATTTGTAAGGATTTTTTTTTGCAAGTTAGTTATCAATATGTCATTTTATGGGGACATAAACAGTTGATAATTGTCCTTCAAATAAATCTAAACTTTCTAATAAGTCTCATCAGCTAAACTTCCAATGATCTAACCTGGAGGGCCCTGGCTCATGCTGATTTTCAGGAGTTTCAGCAGGGGAGTTGGGTGGTGTCTCTGACTGTAGCAAAGCACTGGCCCTGTTTCTGGCTCTGGCTTGACTTTTTGCCTCTCTCCATTTCTTTCTTTTTGCCCTCTTCTCTCTCTCACTGAGCTCATTGACACCCTTCTTCTTTCCAGTCTCTCTGTCTTTTTTCCATTTGACCCTTTCTTTCTCAAGGTACTTTCTTCTTCTGTCTGGGTCAGCATCACGACGTTCCCGATATCTCCTTGCTATCTCAGCTCCTTTTTATCTCATTCCTTGAAAAAGACGATTCAAAATGTTCCCTTACACACTTTAATTGGCAGTCCCGGTAAACTAGGCTTGCATTATCAAACTAGGTTTGCTGATACCGATATCGCCAAAAAAATTGTCCATATTGTCCATTCTTACTATGTATAGCATGTACTGTTATAAAATGTGTGTAATAGCTGTTGTAATATGTGTAACATTATCAGTATGTGGCCTAAACTATGCACATGTCCTTCCTGTCATGAACCATGTCCACCCTGTCATGGAAGGCTTGCTGACAGGGTGGACAATGACAGGGTGGACATTTTTGGCTAATGTTAGCATTTAATGAGCACATGGTGGACCTTCACTTAACAACATACTACAGTTAGCAAGCTGACTGTGTACTGTTTTACAAATATATTTCAAAGTTCTGATAGGTTTTTCTATCAATTGATATTTCACTATGACAGAGTGGACATGTTAAGCTTGACAACATCCAACTACACACATAATATGATGAAAATTATGAAACATAAGTGTAAATACTTACTCTGCAACTAGACACTGCTTCAGCCTTCATTGAAGAAAGACAAAATGCTCATAGTGATGTCACTGAAAACATCAGTGGGTTTCTTAAAGGGGCAGTTACCCCATAATGACAGGGTGGACAGCAATTTCAGGGACACATGCAAAATGTTCAATTTTGTTATGAAAATACAATATGCATGATCAAAATTACTTGTTTTATCAAATAACTTATTGTGGACAGTAAAACCATGTAAAAAAAAAATGGATTTAGTATCATTTAACCACTTATTACACACACTGTAGTTAGCAGAGCAGTGTGTGGGACATGCCAAAATCACATACATCCAATGAGAAAAATTTAATAAAATGAAGGAAACACTTTTTTAGAGACTTATCATTCTACTGATATGTGTGCAAATGTTTGGCCACTTATAATAAGACCTCAGACTTTCATTATTCTGCTACATTTTCATGATGACTGAGTGAGTCTGATGAGGACACCAAAGGCACCTCATAGTGATATTGACTCAAATATCAACCCTTATCTGTCATTAAAGTCTGTGCAAAGATTTTCCTTTAAAAAAAAATATATATATATATATATAATATTACTTACGATTCTGTATTAATATCAGTGATGTAGTGGTAAAAAAAGGTGGGTAAACTATAAACTCACTCGAGATAAGGCAAAAAACCACCAATATATAAACGAAAACGTTTGACATTTTTAGAACTGTAGTGATTGCATGTTAATGTAGGCCTATGGGGAAGATGGGCCATGTGGAGACATATTGAAACATATCTTTTTTTTTTTTGTTCCTAACTTGTTTGATAAGATTAGTAGATTTGCTCAGGGGACCCCACACGGGGCCCCGACCCCACGGTTGGGAACCACTATACTAACCTCTCTCTCTCTCTAACTCCTCTGCTTCCTCCTGCCTCAGCATCACTGAGCGTCACATCACCGTCTGTCTCAGTAGCTCTCTCTCTCTGTAAAGCAAAGTTATTAGGAGAACTTAGTAGCCTATTTTTTTGCTCCTGCTGAGGTCAGGCTCCGTTTTAACGTTAGCTTCATACTTCATCCTTCTAGCTGGCTTAGTAATACTAGCCAGAGCCCTTCAACGTTACTGCAACAGAAGTCTCTGCCGGAGGCTAGCCACCTGACTGACTGTATCTCTAAACAACTATTGACCAGTTGTGCACTCATTCTCCGAGTCGGTTTTTGTTTGGGGATGTCTGTGGACAAGGCAAGAGTCGCTGGACGATTTTAAAATTTCCTTTTGTCCGGACATCTCGCAAAAACACTGTCAGCAGCCTCTCTAGTTGCCTACTTGAGCCGACTCCTTGCTGGGGAAGTTTGTTCCATGTCAGGCCCTCGGTCTAGAGGGCGGAGTTAGCCGTTTCAGAGTGATGAATTTGCAGCTAAAAAGGCAAATCCGGGAGGATAATCTGGGGGATGCAGGCGAACATAACGAACACACCACATTTTCTTTACTGTGTACAATATATATATACAGTTGAAGTCGGAAGTTTACATACACTTAGGTTGGAGTCATTAAAACTCGTTTTTCAACCACTCCACAAATGTATTGTTAACAAACTATAGTTTTGGCAAGTCGGTTAGGACATCTACTTTGTGTATGACACAAGTAATTTTTTTCAACAATTGTTTACAGACAGATTATTTCACTTATAATTCACTGTATCACAATTCCAGTGGGTCAGAAGTTTACATACACTAAATTGACTGTGCCTTTAAACAGCTTGGAAAATTCGAGAAAATGATGTCATGGCTTTAGAAGCATCTGATAGGCTAATTGACATCATTTGAGTCAACTGGAGGTGTACCTGTGGATGTATTTCAAGGCCTACCTTCAAACTCAGTGCCTCTTTGCTTGGCATCATGGGAAAATCAAAATAAATTAGCCAAGACCTCATAAAAATAATTGTAGACCTCCTCAAGTCTGGTTCATCCTTGGGAACAATTTCCAAACGCCTGAAGGTACCACGTTCATCTGTACAAACAATAGTAAGCAAGTATAAACACCATGGGACCACGCAGCCGTCAAACCGCTCAGGAAGGAGACGCGTTCTGTCTCCTAGAGATTAACGTACTTTGGTGCGAAAAGTGCAAATCAATCCCAGAACAGCAGCAAAGGACCTTGTGAAGATGCTGGAGGAAACAGGTAACAAAGTATCTATATCCACAGTAAAACGAGTCCTATATCGACATAATCTGAAAGGCCGCTCAGCAAGGAAGAAGCCACTGCTGACCCACAGGGAATGTGATGAAAGAAATAAAAGCTGAAATAAATAATTCTCTCTACTATTATTCTGACATTGCACATTCTTAAAATAAAGTGGTGATCCTAACTGTCCTAAAACAAGGAATTTTTACTAGGATTAAATGTCAGGAATTCTGAAAAACTGAGTTTAAATGTAGTTGGCTAAGGTGTATGTAAACTTCCGACTTCAACTGTACATGTTGCTTTCATATTTTTGTTCAGTATATATACACTACCGGTCCAAAGTTTTAGATCACCTACTCAATCAAGGATTTTTCTTTATTTTTACTATTTTCTACATTTTAGAATAATAGCGAATACATCAAAACAATGAAATAACAAGTGTTAAACCAATCAAAATATATTTTATATTTGAGAGTCTTCAAATAGCCACCCTTTGCCTTGATGACAGCTTTGCACACTCTTGGCATTGTTGGCAAGACTGTTGGAAAAGCATTCCAGGTGAAGCTGGTTGAGAGAATGCCAAGCGTGTGCAAAGCTGTCATCAAGGAAAAGGGTGGCTATTTGAAGAATCTAAAATATAAAATATATTTGGATTTGTTGAACACTTTTTTTGGTTACTACATGATTTCATATGTGTTATTTCATAGTTTTGATGTCTTCACTATTATTCTACAATGTAGAAAATAATAAAAATAAAGACGAACCCTTGAATGAGTAGGTGTGTCCAAACTTTTGACTGGTACTGTGTGTATGTGTGTATATATACAGTGGGGGAAAAAAGTATTTAGTCAGCCACCAATTGTGCAAGTTCTCCCACTTAAAAAGATGAGAGAGGCCTGTAATTTTCATCATAGGTACACGTCAACTATGACAGACAAAATGAGATTTTTTTCTCTCCAGAAAATCACATTGTAGGATTTTTTATGAATTTATTTGCAAATTATGGTGGAAAATAAGTATTTGGTCAATAACAAAAGTTTCTCAATACTTTGTTATATACACTTTGTTGGCAATGACACAGGTCAAACGTTTTCTGTAAGTCTTCACAAGGTTTTCACATACTGTTGCTGGTATTTTGGCCCATTCCTCCATGCAGATCTCCTCTAGAGCAGTGATGTTTTGGGGCTGTCGCTGGGCAACACAGACTTTCAACTCCCTCCAAAGATTTTCTATGGGGTTGAGATCTGGAGACTGGCTAGGCCACACCAGGACCTTGAAATGCTTCTTACGAAGCCACTCCTTCGTTGCCCCGGCGGTGTGTTTGGGATCATTGTCATGCTGAAAGACCCAGCCACGTTTCATCTTCAATGCCCTTGCTGATGGAAGGAGGTTTTCACTCAAAATCTCACGATACATGGCCCCATTCATTCTTTCCTTTACACGGATCAGTCGTCCTGGTCCCTTTGCAGAAAAACAGCCCCAAAGCATGATGTTTCCACCCCCATGCTTCACAGTAGGTATGGTGTTCTTTGGATGCAACTCAGCATTCTTTGTCCTCCAAACACGACGAGTTGAGTTTTTACCAAAAAGTTATATTTTGGTTTCATCTGACCATATGACATTCTCCCAATCCTCTTCTGGATCATCCAAATGCACTCTAGCAAACTTCAGACGGGCCTGGACATGTACTGGCTTAAGCAGGGGGACACGTCTGGCACTGCAGGATTTGAGTCCCTGGCGGCGTAGTGTGTTACTGATGGTAGGCTTTGTTACTTTGGTCCCAGCTCTCTGCAGGTCATTCACTAGGTCCCCCCGTGTGGTTCTGGGATTTTTGCTCACCGTTCTTGTGATCATTTTGACCCCACGGGGTGAGATCTTGCGTGGAGCCCCAGATCGAGGGAGATTATCAGTGGTCTTGTATGTCTTCCATTTCCTAATAATTGCTCCCACAGTTGATTTCTTCAAACCAAGCTGCTTACCTATTGCAGATTCAGTCTTCCCAGCCTGGTGCAGGTCTACAATTTTGTTTCTGGTGTCCTTTGACAGCTCTTTGGTCTTGGCCATAGTGGAGTTTGGAGTGTGACTGTGTGAGGTTGTGGACAGGTGTCTTTTATAATGATAACAAGTTCAAACAGGTGCCATTAATACAGGTAACGAGTGGAGGACAGAGGAACCTCTTAAAGAAGAAGTTACAGGTCTGTGAGACCCAGAAATCTTGCTTGTTTGTAGGTGACCAAATACTTATTTTCCACCATAATTTGCAAATAAATTCATTAAAAATCCTACAATGTGATTTTCTGGATTTTTTTTCCTCAATTTGTCTGTCATAGTTGACGTGTACCTATGATGAAAATTACAGGCCTCTCTCATCTTTTTAAGTGGGAGAACTTGCACAATTGGTGGCTGACTAAATACTTTTTTTCCTCACTGTATATATATTTCTTTTTTTTGTGTTGAAAAACATTACCTAGGTCCGGACCTCAGTGTCCTCATTTGTAGTTACTGCCCTGCCTCCTCCTCCCCGTTACTCCTCCTCTCTGCTCCTCCTCTCTCCCCCTAGACAGGCCCCATACACAGACTCCCCTCCTCTTCTGTGATGGCCTCCAGCTCGTCTGTGCGGATCGCCTGGGTGATGAGGTTGAGTTCTTCACACATGGTCTCGTAACGGTACGCCACACGGATGTCGGGGACGTTGGTGCGTCTGATATCGTTTCCCCCTGCCCCTCCTTGATGTAGTGTGGCCCTAGCCAGTAACTCTTCACCTGGAGAGAAAGGGGATTGAAGTACTGTACTGTCACTTTTCAGGTGATAAATGAGGTCTCCTCAGAACAGATAATGTATGACCATGGGGAAAAAATAGTGTGTGTTTGAGATACAGGTCTGCGTAGGATTAGGATTGTTGTAGCAATTTGATTGGTTGCACGCTGTTCCAGGCATTATGAAGATCTGTTGATCTGAACAGACCTAAGCAAAGTCTGTAAATCTCAAACATGCACATAGCCTTAGGATCAGGCTACCAGTAGGAACAGGCTAACAGTAGGTATATAAAGTAGTAGAGAATATATCATGCTCGGGTAAATAATGTAGAAATGTGATAATGCAGTGGTTAATGATAAGGCGACGGTACTTTATGGGAGAAACCGCTCATCAGAACACTGTTCCTGGCCAGCTCACACATGTCACAGGAACTGAGCTTCCACACCTGAGCAGCGATGCTGTACTCCTGAGCTTCCACACCTGAGCAGCGATGCTGTACTCCTGAGCTTCCACACCTGAGCAGCGATGCTGTACTCCTGAGCTTCCACACCTGAGCAGCGATGCTGTACTCCTGAGCTTCCACACCTGAGCAGCGATGCTGTACTCCTGAGCTTCCACACCTGAGCAGCGATGCTGTACTCCTCCATCAGAGGCTCCTGGAAAGGGAAAGGGACAGCATACAGTAACAATAATATGTTACCGGTCAAAAGTTTTAGAACACCTACTCATTCAAGGGTTTTTTTTCTTTATTTTTTACTATTTTCTACATTGTAGAATAATAGTGAAGACATCAAAACTATAATAACACATATGGAATCATGTAGTAACCAAAAAAGGGTTAAACAAATCAAAATACATTTTTATATTTGAGATTCTTCAAATAGCCACCCTTTGCCTTGATGACAGCTTTGCACACTCTTGGCATTCTCTCAACCAGCTTCATGAGGTAGTCACCTGGAATGCATGTCAATTAACAGGTGTGCCTTCTTAAAAGTTAATTTGTGGAATTTCTTTCCTCCTTAATGCGTTTGAGCCAATCAGTTGTGTTGTGACAAGGTAGGGGGGTATACAGAAGATAGCCCTATTTCGTAAAAGATCAAGTCCATATTATGGCAAGAACAGCTCAAATAAGCAAAGAGAAATGACAGTCCATTATTACTTTAAGACATGAAGGTCAGTCAATATGGAACACTTCAAGAACTTTGAAAGTTTCTTCAAGTGCAGTCGCAAAAACCATCAAGCACTATGATGAAACTGGCTCTCATGAGGACCGCCACAGGAAAGGAAGACTCAGAGTTACCTCTGCTGCAGAGGATAAGTTAATTAGAGTTACCAGCCTCAGAAATTGCAGCCCAAATAAATGCTTCACAGAGTTCAAGTAACAGACACATCTCAACATCAACTGTTCAGAGGAGACTGTGTGAATCAGGCCTTCATGGTCAAATTGCTGCAAAGAAACCACTACTAAAGGACACCAATAATAATAAGAGACCTGCTTAGGCCAAGAAACACGAGCAATAGACATTAGACCTGTGGAAATCTGTCCTTTGGTCTGATAAGTCCAAATTTGAGATTTTTGGTTCCAACCGCCGTGTCTTTGTGAGACGCAGAGTAGGTGAACGGATGATCTCCGCATGTGTGGTTACCACCATGAAGCATGGAGGAGGAGGTGTGATGGTGCTTTGCTGGAGACACTGTCTGTGATTTATTTAGAATTCAAGGCACACTTAACCAGAATGGCTACCACAGCATTCTGCAGCGATACGCCATCCCATCTGGTTTGGGCTTAGTGGGACTATCATTTGTTTTTCAACAGGACAATGACCCAACACACCTACAGGCTGTGTAAGGGCTATTTGACCAAGAAGGAGAGGGATGGAGTGCTGCATCAGATGACCTGGCCTCCATAATCCTCCGACCTCAACCCAATTGAGATGGTTTGGGATGAGTTGGACCGCAGAGTGAAGGAAAAGCAATCAACAAGTGCTCAGCATATGTGGGAACTACTTCAAGACTGTTGGAAAAGCATTCCTCATGAAGCTGGTTGAGAGAATGCCAAGAGTGTGCAAAGCTGTCATCAAGGCAAAGGGTGGCTATTTGAAGAATCTCAAATATAAAATATAAAATATATTTTGATTTGTTGAACACTTTTTTTTGGTTACTACATGATTCCATATGTGTTATTTCATAGTTTTGATGTCTTCACTATTATTCTACAATGTCGAAAATAGTAAAAAATAAAGAAAAACCCTTGAATGAGTAGGTGTGTCCAAACTTTTGACTGGTACTGTATGTTTTTATTTGGTACATGAAAACTGAAGAGAAAAGTACATCGTGTGCACTTCGTCATCTCTGATTTTTATCAGCAACAAGTCCGTTCGGTGAAAACACACCACCGGTGGGAAAATGCGCATATTTTCTTTATGCAGATTTTAGAATATTTGCATGAAAATCTGTCGCCAATTGGATGGAAATCTATCTAGTGACATGGAGGCATTCTTTATGTATGTTGTGTTGAGCAGAAACCTTGCTAGTGACATGGAGCCACCATAGACATACGAGTACAGTTTATATTCACATACCCGGTATTCATAGTGTTTTATTTATATACATGGTTGGGGTTCACCAACCTTAGTGAAGTGGAACTGCAGAGGGTCGTCAGTGGACAGCGAGACCATGAGTCCCCTGGACAGATACTCAGGCAGGGGGTTGCGGTGGTATCTGAGGAACAGACTGTTGTTGCTGAGAGGAGACATGGCGATGCCGATCTGAGCCAGGTAGTAGAGGTACTGCAGGACGGGGGCCTGGTGAGGACACGGTGATACACTATGTGTAGTAGAGGTACTGCAGGACAGGGACGGGTGAGGACACGGTGATACACTATGTGTAGTAGAGGTACTGCAGGACAGGGACGGGTGAGGACACGGTGATACACTATGTGTAGTAGAGGTACTGCAGGACAGGGACGGGTGAGGACACGGTGATACACTATGTGTAGTAGAGGTACTGCAGGACAGGGACGGGTGAGGACACGGTGATACACTATGTGTTCTGTTGTGGGCAGTTGTCTCTTATGACTGGAAACATTTGTTGATACAAAAAGAACAACCAACCCCGTGAACCATTTTTTGCATTGGAACATTTACAGTAGCTGCCATTTGTTTGAAAGGCACCTGGTGGTCACAAGCTCGTACTGTAGATGACTGACGACTTTGTCCTCGTTGTGGTGTGTGAAATATAGACAGTGTGGCGGCTAACGCTGTGTGCAGCAGTACCTTCCTCAGCAGCAGTCCGTGGGAGATGTTTTCTGACAGCATGAAACCTGACACCAGGTGATGGATAGGCCCCGCCTCCCCACAGTGAGGACGCAGCACCAGGGTGTTGAAACCTCTCTGCCTGGAACACACATAGATAGATAGATAGATAGATAGATTAATTGATAGATAGATAGATTAATTGATTGATTGGTGGTACACACAATCATAGAGGTACGGTGGGGACGAGACTCAAACCATATAAAACACAGCTACACGGACAGCTGAAGAGATAAGGTGGTTATAATAATAATAATAATAATAATAATAATAATATGCCATTTAGCAGATGCTTTTATCCATATATGCATGCATACATTGTATTATTATATTATTATTATTATGAAAAAAAAAAAAATTGTACGGGTGGTCCCGGGGATCGAACCCACTACCTTGACGTTACAAGCGCCGTGCTCTACCAGCTGAGCTACAGAGGACCAGCTTAGCAACCCTGTATAACTAATGCTACATAACAGGCAGTCACAGAGGTACGGTGGGAGGTCACAGAGGTCAAAGCCAGGGCATATTGAGTGATATGATATGATGTTATGATAAGGGATGGTATTGTGATGGTATTGTGATGGTATTATGATGGTATTGTGATAGTGTTGTGATGGCGTTGTGATGGGATTGTGATGGCGTTGTGATGGGATTGTGATGGCGTTGTGAAGGTATTGTGATGGCGTTGTGATGGTTTTGTGACGGTATTGTGATGGTATTGTGATGGTATTGTGATAACATTTGATGGTATTGTGATAGCATTGTGATAGGATTGTGATTGTCAGTGAGTTTCCTGTGTTCATTCTCTATTGGTACGTCTGTGTAGGGTCATGACCCTCACAGAAATATGAACGGTACAATGCAGATCTCTATTGGTACGTCTGTGTAGGGTCATGACCCTCACAGAAATATGAACGGTACAATGCAGATCTCTATTGGTACGTCTGTGTAGGGTCATGACCCTCACAGAAATATGAACAGTACAATTTAGATGTGTTGCTTATGCCCTTTAGTGGAAAGTATCTACAGCAGCTCAGGGCTCTCCGACCCTGTTCCTGGAGAGCTAACCTCCTGTAGGTTTACACCAGGGCTTTCCGACCCTGTTCCTGGAGAGCTACCCTCCTGTAGGTTTACACCAGGGCTCTCCAACCCTGTTCCTGGAGAGCTACCCTCCTGTAGGTTTACACCAGGGCTTCAAAACCAGTTTTAACTAACCTGATTCAGCTTATCAACCAACTAAATATTAGAATCAGGTGAGCTAGATTAGGGTTGGACTGAAAACCTCCAGGAACACGGTTGGACTGAAAACCTCCAGGAACACGGTTGGACTGAAAACCTCCAGGAACACGGTTGGACTGAAAACCTCCAGGAACACGGTTGGACTGAAAACCTCCAGGAACACGGTTGGACTGAAAACCTCCAGGAACACGGTTGGACTGAAAACCTCCAGGAACACGGTTGGAAAGCCCTGTTCTAGATTCTGTTCCCACATAGCCAGGTGTTTTACAGTGATAATGTCAGTGTCATGCTAGAATCAGTGTAAATGGTAATAGTGCTGCAGTATCATGTGGTCCCATACCTGCGCAGGTGGTTGAGCACGGTCATGTTAGCATACATATAGTACAGGTAGTATGCGTAAGGAGGGTTGTCTTCTGTCCAGTCGGCTGGCAGAGGACTCTCCGTGTTGAAGCAGTGATGCTCCGGTTTAGACTCATCGTCCACACTGTCGAAGCCCACCACCTGAACACACACACACACACACCATTGTCATTGTCGTCGTAAATCGTCATTGTCAACGTCGTCGTCTTCACGATCAGTGGTCGTGTTTGAGAGCATCAATTTAGGTCATTCGCCCGACGACAGACCGAGTAGACTTACTGATTTTACAAATCACCTTGCATCCCAAATAACGACTTATTGTGATTTGTAGATCCGTCAGGATTGATGTTCTCGAACACGCCCAGTGTCTCAGAGAGGTTATCTGCTAGACCACCCTCTGTCGGGGGGCGGAAACAACCGGATGCGTCCGGTTTTAAGGGGACATGGAAAGATAGCCTGTGACACGACTTCCACTTTTGGACGTTAATAAGGAGAACACTTAATCTTAACTCCTCCTCCACATTTAACTGGATTGGTTGAACAGTGCGGAAGAGAACCTTCCCACCGTTTTTTTTTACTCTCGTCAGGACCAGAAAGAAAGAAACGCAGCACCGGCATTTCTTTAACACCCTGCTACGTTAGGTTACTGCTAGACAAAAGCCATAACGACTGATCCAACACACAGTGTCCTCTGAACCACTAAACCAACGGATTGTTTACTCACATGTTGTAGGAAGAGGTGCAGCTCACGGTGTCTGGCGGGGTCGATGGTGACCTCAAACAGAGGCATGAAGATGTTCTCCAGCAGTTCCTGGAAGGTAGACAGCTGCTTCTTGGTGTGGTACACATCACTGCAGAGAGAGATAGAGAGCATGCAGGTCTTTTTTTCAGAATTGTATTGGTTTTCAGGTCAAATTTAAGGAATCATAGTTCAGTAACAACAATTAGGCACTTTCACAGTAATTCAATGTTATCTGGCAGCTGGCTTGACTATGGTTGTGTGGAAGGACTGAAGAACTCTAACCCCTGTAGATGGACAGACTGAAAATATATCGTTTCATTCAGAACAATGTGGAAGAAGTGGGAACACCAGACAATTGTTGAACGGATGTATTGTAGTAGTAACAGAAATGGTATATAATGTTGTAAGAGGCTTTGGTGGTACTCACAAGAGTCGTGGCACCTGCACCAGCCAGCGTACGTTGTTAGAGTAGACTTGGTGTTTGACGGCCCACTGGGCCAGCTTGTCCCACTCGTCCCTGCAGCGGCCGTAGATGGACAGACGCAGCTCCAGGTTCTGGTATTTACTCTCCTCCGGCCCACTGGGCCAGCTTGTCCCACTCGTCCCTGCAGCGGCCGTAGATGGACAGACGCAGCTCCAGGTTCTGGTATTTACTCTCCTCCGGCCCACTGGGCCAGCTTGTCCCACTCGTCCCTGCAGCGGCCGTAGATGGACAGACGCAGCTCCAGGTCCAGGTCCAGGTCCAGGTCCAGCTCCAGGTTCTGGTATTTACTCTCCTCCGGCCCACTGGGCCAGCTTGTCCCACTCGTCCCTGCAGCAGCCGTAGATGGACAGACGCAGCTCCAGGTCCAGGTCCAGGTCCAGGTCCAGCTCCAGGTTCTGGTATTTACTCTCCTCCAGGTCAGCCATCACCTCCTGACGGGGTGCAGAGGCATACAACAGTCAGCAGGGGGCGCTAAGTACTAGTATAGAACATTACTACACTACAATACAGCATTACTACAGAGGACTCTTGATATCTCCAGGAGTGATAAGTATGATCTTTGTCTTAATCTGTTGTCGTCTAGTACTGTCTTGTTGCTAGCTAAGGGCCATCTACTTTAAAGTGCTTCCTGTCTTCCCAGTAGCCTACTTGGTGTGTGAACTGCTGACTGACTCATAACTTGCAGATAAAGTTGTCGACTCGTCAACCAGGATCAAGGGGCAATTTGTGACTGTTGTGGTTTTGGTAATCGGTGTCAGCGGCGGTCTCGAACCTTCGCCCGAAACAAAGACGGTTCTGTGGAGTTATTAGAGGAAGGAAAGAGAGGAAGGTGCCACGCTAGTCTCTCACTTGAATATCTTACCCAGTTATTTACAGATGATCTCATTTTGCTCTTTTGAAGCTTTGGCAACTATATGTTTTCTATACTTGTTCACTCCTCCCCCTGTAGGCTTTACAGACGCTCCCCACCCCTTGGCTGCATCCATTCTAATTTAGCGTACCCTGGCGCGCACAACCCATTTGGAATTCCTGGTCTCTGGCAGCGTTTGGAACTGCGGATCTACGGTCAAGAACGCAGAGTTCATCTCAGCCTATGCTGCCCCTCAGTCCCTGTACTTTTTGGCCCTGAAGGAGACATGGACCAACCCAGAGAACTGCTACACCAGCTGCTCTCTCTTCACCTGACAACGTTTTCTCTCGTAGTCCGAGAGCATCTAGTGGTGGAACAGGGCTGCTCATTTCTCTAAATGGAGATGATCTCTGTTCTCCCTCACTCACCTGTCCATCTTCTCATTTGAATTCCATGCTGTCACTATCACTTGTCAACTCAAGAGTAACATTGTTTTCATCTATCACCCACCAGGTGCCCTTAGAGAATCAATCAAGCTTGACACCTTGATGAGCTCATTTCGTACTGGTCGACTTCAACCTCCCGACGTCTGCCTTCGATTCATTTCTTTCCAACTCTCTCTTTCCCCTCCTTACCTCACCCGTTCTCAGTCCTCTCCAACTCACAAGGCAGGCAATACGCAATAGGCTGTTAGCCTTCTAGCCTCACTGCAACCCCCCTCCAGGTCTCTGATCACTACTTTGTTTCCTTTTCTGTCTCCCTTTCCTCCAACCCTACCCACTCAGCCCCTACCCAGATGGTCATGCGCCGTCGCAATCTTGGCTCTCTCTCTCTCCCACTACTCCCTCCCACTACTCTCTCCTCTTCTAACCTATCATCTTTCCCTTCTGCTAAATCCTTCTCCGTCCTGTCTCCTGATTCTGCCTCTTCGACCCTACTCTCCTCCCTTTCCGCATCCTATGACTCGCAATGTCCCCCTTCCTCCCGGCCGGCTCAGCCCTCCCCTCCTGCTCCGTGGCTGAGTGACACATTGCGAGCTTACAGAACAGGGTTGCGGGCAGCTGAGCTAAAATGGAGGAAAATGAAACTTCTTATCATCCTTTCACTCCCTCCGCTCTGTCTTCTCTTCCTCTGTATCCGATGCTAAACTTTCTATCACTACATTTCAAGCTTCTGCCTCGAACCCTAGGAAACTCTTTTCCACCTTCTCCTCCCTCCTTAATCCTCCACCCCCTCCCCCCTCTCCGTGGATGACTTTGTCAATCACTTTGAAAAGAAGGTTGACGACATCCGCTCCTCATTCACTCAGCCTATTGAGTCCACTGGTCCAACTCACACAGAACTACGTTAACCTCTTTCTCCACTGGCTGCATCCCCTCTGACTTCAAAATGGCCTGAGTCACTCCCCTCCTCAAGAAACCAACACTCAAAAACTACAGACCGGTATCCTTTCTTTCTTTTCTTTCCATAACACTTGAGCGTGCCGTCTCTGACCAACTCTCGCTATCTCTCTCAGAACGATCTTCTTGACCTTAACCAGTCAGACTTCCAGGCGGGTCACTTAACCGAGACTGCTCTTCTCTCTGTGTCACGGAGGTTCTCCGCACTGCCAAAGCTGACTCTCTCTCCTCTGTTCTCATCCTCCTAGATCTATCCGCTGACTTCGACACTGTGAACCATCAGATCCTCCTCTCCGCCCCTCTCAGGGCTGGACGTCTCAGGCTCAGAACACTCTTAGATTGCATCCTACCTGGCAGGCAGTTCCAAAATACTGCCGGTCTCCATGGTAATTGACCGTTAATTAACAAAAATACGTTTAGCATTTCCTGGCTTCCACTCATACAAGCTGCTGAGGCGTGCCTTTGGAACATCTACATTTAAAAAAGTCAAATAAATCCATTTAATATAGCCTACACCATCACAATAAAATCCATTATTTATGTAGTTGTGATAAACCTGGGAATGTCTGAGAAATCAAAACCTAAGGGTTGCATGATGCAACTATACTGATGAATTGGAAAAAGCCGCACAAAAAAAAGGCATGCACTCTCTGATCCTTCCCGTGATGAGAGAGAGACAATTGCATTGCTGCTCTGCTTGTGTGGCAAAGCAAGTTAGGGGATATCTAATCGATAGAAGATGGAATTAAAATGACAGAATTCAAAGTTAAATGATAAAGAAAGGCTACTTACATACACACACACACACACACACACACACACACACACACACACACACACACACACACACACACACACACACACACACACACACACACACACACACACACACAGCTCTTCTCTGTCCTGGGACCCAAATGGTGGAACCAGATTACCCCTGAAGCTAGAACAGCAGAGTCCCTGCCCATCTTCTGAAAACGTATGAAACCCCGCCTCTTTTTAAAGAGCATCTTAAATAATCCCACAGCACCCCCCGTTTTCTCTCTTACTAGCACTGACTTTGCTGATAGCTACTTTATTGAGGAAAAATGTACTTACTATGACCGTGATATGGTGTTGTCCCACCTAGCTACCTTAAGATGAATGCACTAACTGTAAGTCACTCTGGAAAAGGGCGTCTACTAAATGACTCAAAAGTAAAATGTACTACAATGCAACATTACTATAAAACAACATTACTACTCTCTGTGGTTGCATCCTGATTCTCTACCCTTCTTATGAAGTGTGCACTTGCACAATCTTTCTGTGGTGGAAACTCCCTCTAATTGCTCACACAAATCCGATGCTTTTAATTTCAGATGGAGATTGTGAAAGTTCACACATCGGGAGAAGGGGTCGAGAATCATGACGTAGGAGGAGAATATACAGTATGTTGATTATTTACATTTTAGTCATTTAGCAGACGCTCTTATCCAGAGTGACTTACAGTTAGTGAGTGCATACATTTTCATACTGGCCCCCCGTGGGAATCGAACCCACAACCCTGACGTTGCAAACGCCATGCCCTACCAACTGAGCTACACGGGACTATATGCATTCACCTTGATGATGTGTCCAAAGTATTTCCCCTCTACATGGTTGTCTGTTTTGATGAAGATCTCTCTAAGGATGGACTCCCCGATGGGGTTGTATTTGGCGTTGAACTTGTCAAAGCGATGGAAAGTGTTGCGGTCCTGTGAAGAGAAAGGGGACGTTCTTGTTGATGTCGCTGCCAAGCTGTCAAGTCAGATAGTCGTCTGTCTTTAAAGCACAGTTGTCAATCAAAAAGCTCTAAAAAAAAAAATAGAACAACTGTTCATCCATCCTTTTCCTGAGATCTCTTCATTGACCTTCCTGTCTCCTCTATGTGTCCTCTCTTAATATAGGAACCAAAACCAATATTTTACAAACAGAGAGGATGAAGGAGAGGTAGCTACTTAAGACTATCGACATGCAACCCTCTGTCTCCTCCCTCGCCCCGTCTCCACCACCACTCACAGCGTGCATGTCCAGTGTGTCCACACTCAGGTCGAAGGCTGTGAGGTTCATGGTTTCGAACACCTCCATGAGCGTCTGTCCCTTGTCTCTCTCCGCATGGACTATCTCCCCTGGATACTTCTTCATGGCCCTCTTGATGAACCTCAGCAGGTGTTTCTGGTTCATGCAGGACGAGGCGTGGATGTGGGTGTCCACCTGGGTGCGCAACAACGAACCAGATACAGACACAGATGAATGAAGATAGAATAACACCGGAATACGCAACACTTCGAGGGCATCGGCCTGAGCAAAGCTCTGCGCAGATTTGAACATCTTGGGTCAAATAATGAGCAGTTCTTTGGGGGTGCAAGATGATTTCTAGATCACTGATTCTGCGTAGAGCATAGCTCACGCTGGTCCTCTCCAACACGCTGACTGAGGACTCACCTTGCGTATGTTGTAGAAATCTCTGTGAGGGACTTTCTTCTGAGCTGCAAGCTCCTTCATCTCATTCAGCAGGATGTGCATCTGGAACTTAGAACTCAGGTACTGTAGCCGACGGTAACAGAATGACTTCCTGTGAAGGCAGGAAGTAAACCCAGACACAACGTCAGTTGCTCCACTGATAACAGGCAGTACACTGTCAGGAGTAACTGACAGACGACTCGCGGTCTATCATCATGATGTTTTGCTTCTTGACAGAATGGCCATTATAGAAACCTTGGGCTTGATTCAATCTGTAGCACGATTTAAATGTAAAGGTAATTTCGACATATGCATTTTACCGTAAAGGCAGTCTCCGCGAATGCGGGAACATTGCCTTTCTATCACGCTGTAGCGCAAGTCTTCAGCGCCACTGATTTGAATCAACACTACCACATACAGTGGGGAGAACAAGTATTTGATACACTGCCGATTTTGCAGGTTTTCCTACTTACAAAGCATGTAGAGGTTTGTAATTTTTATCATAGGTACACTTTAACTGTGAGAGACGGAATCTAAAACAAAAATCCAGAAAATCACATTGTATGATTTTTAAGTAATTAATTTGCATTTTATTGCATGACATAAGTATTTGATCACCTACCAACCAGTAAGAATTCCGGCTCTCACAGACCTGTTAGTTTTTCTTTAAGAAGCCCTCCTGTTCTCCACTCATTACCTGTATTAACTGCACCTGTTTGAACTCGTTACCTGTATAAAAGACACCTGTCCACACACTCAATCAAACAGACTCCAACCTCTCCACAATGGCCAAGACCAGAGAGCTGTGTAAGGACATCAGGGATAAAATTGTAGACCTGCACAAGGCTGGGATGGGCTACAGGACAATAGGCAAGCAGCTTGGTGAGAAGGCAACAACTGTTGGCGCAATTATTAGAAAATGGAAGAAGTTCAAGATGACGGTCAATCACCCTCGGTCTGGGGCTCCATGCAAGATCTCACCTCGTGGGGCATCAATGATATGAGGAAGGTGAGGGATCAGCCCAGAACTACACGGCAGGACCTGGTCAATGACCTGAAGAGAGCTGGGACCACAGTCTCAAAGAAAACCATTAGTAACACTTTTGTTTTAGATTCCGTCTCTCACAGTTGAAGGGTACCTATGATAAAAATTACAGACCTCTACATGCTTTGTAAGTAGGAAAACCTGCAAAATCGGCAGTGTATCAAATACTTGTTCTCCCCACTGTATATATGCCATCAGAGGTATGTTAACTCACACAGGTCCGTTGATGATGAGGGCCATCATGACGTTCATATCAGCGATGTACTCCGGTAGGTCTGGGTACGGCAGCTCCAACTCTGTAGACCTGAAATGACAGTACACAGACTTTTAACACCGTCTCGATAGCCAACACCCAGTAAACTAAAAGGCACTCACACAAAGTAGTCTTTTTCATAATGCCACTGAAGGCCAAAGTAATGACGAACTTATAAACATCTAAGATGTATGGCTGCTAGGTATCGGCATGTTTATAACCATGGTAACAATTTATCTAAAGCCTTTAGGTATATTGCTTGACAACTTGTTATAAGCACGTATGAGCCTTTTTTTATAATGTGTTATAATACGGCTAACAATATGATATGTTAAGGGATAATTGACGTGTCGCACGTGTCCATGGTGTCCTTCTTAGTGTAGATATGGACGACACCGTTGACCATCATGCAGCCGTAGCCTATGTCAGGAGGCATACAGGAAGTGTCTTGGTTCTCATAGGGGTGTGTGGCGGAGACAGGAGGGTGGACCGTCTGGTCTAGGTCTAGAATAGAGTACAGTACACTAGAGTAGAATAGAATCAAATAGAACGTTACTAAACCGTCAGACACAAGACAGATGGGATGGAATGGGAATGCACAGGGCGTTACGCCAAACCAAACGTTTATTTTCACGGCTGAATTTCGATGATGAAAATTCTCCCCACACTGAGTGACAGTCTGTGTTCTGGCAGGAGGTAGAGGGGAATAGCACATACGAAACCATCTCTTCATCTGTAGCTGGCTTGCTTTAACTACCACCTGTGAGTGTATGTAGGTAGGTATGTACAGTTGAAGTCGGAAGTTTACATACACTTAGGTTGGAGTCATTAAAACTCGTTTTTCAACCACTCCACAAATTTCTTGTTAACAAACTATAGTTTTGGCAAGTCGGTTAGGACATCTACTTTGTGCATGACACAAGTAATTTTTCCAACAATTGTTTACAGACAGATTATTTCACTTATAATTCACTGTATCACAATTCCAGTGGGTCAGAAGTTTACATACACTAAGTTGACTGTGCCTTTAAACAGCTTGGAAAATTCCAGAAAATGATGTCATGGCTTTAGAAGCTTCTGATACGCTAATTGACATCATTTGAGTCAATTGGAGGTGTACCTGTGGATGTATTTCAAGGCCTACCTTCAAACTCAGTGCCTCTTTGTTTGACATCATGGGAAAATCAAAAGAAATCAGCCAAGACCTCAGAAAAAAAATGGTAGACCTCCACAAGTCTGGTTCATCCTTGGGAACAATTTCCAAACGCTCAGGAAGGAGACGCGTTCTGTCTCCTAGAGATCAAATCAAATCAAATTTTATTTGCCACATGCGCCGAATACAACAGGTGTAGACATTACAGTGAAATGCTTACTTACAAGCCCTTAACCAACAATGCAAAGTAAAGACATTTTAAAAAGTGTTAAGCAAAAAAAATTAAAGCAAATAACTAAAGAGCAGCAGTAAAATAAAATAACAGTAGGGAGGCTATATACAGGGGGGTACCGGTGCAGAGTCAATGTGCGGGGGCACCGGCTAGTCGAGGTAATTGCGGTAATATGTACATGTGGGTAGAGTTAAAGTGACTATGCATAAATAATAAACAGGGTAGCAGCAGAGTAAAAAAGGGGGTGGGGGTGGGGGTGGGGGGGCAGTGCAAATTGTCCGGGTAGCCATGATTAGCTGTTCAGGAGTCTTATGGCTTGGGGGTAGAAGCTGTTGAGAAGCCTTTTGGACCTAGACTTGGCGCTCCGGTACCGCTTGCCGTGCGGTAGCAGAGAGAATAGTCTATGACTAGGGTGGCTGGAGTCTTTGACAATTTTGAGGGCCTTCCTCTGACACCGCCTGGTATAGAGATCCTGGATGGCAGGAAGCTTGGCCCCAGTAATGTACTGGGCCGTACGCACTACCCTCTGTAGTGCCTTGCGGTCGGAGGCCGAGCAGTTGCCATACAAGGTGGCGATGCAACCAGTCAGGATGCTCTCGATGGTGCATCTGTAGAACTTTTTGAGGATCTGAGGACCCATGCCAAATGTTTTCGGTCTCCTGAGGGGGAATAGGCTTTGTCGTGCCCTCTTCACGACTGTCTTGGTGTGTTTGGACCATGATCATTTGTTGGTGATGTGGACACCAAGGAACTTGAAGCTCTCAACCTGTTCCACTACAGCCCCATCGGTGAGAATGGGGGCGTGCTCAGTCCTCTTTTTTTTCCTGTAGTCTACAATCATCTCCTTTGTCTTGATCACGTTGAGGGAGATGTTGTTATCCTGGCACCACATGGCCAGGTCTCTGACCTCCTCCCTATAGGCTGTCTCATTGTTGTTGGTGATCAGGCCTACCACTGTTGTCGTCTGCAAACTTAATGATGGTGTTGGAGTCGTGCCTGGCCATGCAGTCATGGGTGAACAGGGAGTACAGGAGGGGACTGAGCATGCACCCCTGAGGGGCCCCCGTGTTGAGGATCAGCGTGGCAGATGTGTTGTTACCTACCCTTACCACCTGGGGGCGGCCTGTCAGGAAGTCCAGGATCCAGTTGCAGAGGGAGGTGTTTAGTCCCAGGATCCTTAGCTTAGTGATGAGCTTTGAGGGCACTATGGTGTTGAACGCTGAGCTGTTGTCAATGAATAGCATTCTCACGTACAGTGAGGGAAAAAAGTATTTGATCCCATGCTGATTTTGAACGTTTGCCCACTGACAAATAAATTATCAGTCTATAATTTTAATGGTAGGTTTATTTGAACAGTGAGAGACAGAATAACAACAACAAAATCCAGAAAAACGCATGGCAAAAATGTTATAAATTGATTTGCATTTTAATGAAGCACGGGGGTGGCAGCATCATGCTGTGGGGGTGCTTTGCTGCAGGAGGGACTGGTGCACTTCACAAAATAGATGACATCATGAGGAAGGAAAATTATGTGGATATATTGAAGCAACATCTCAAGACATCAGTCAGGAAGTTAAAGCTTGGTCGCAAATGGGTCTTCCAAATGGACAATGACCCCAAGCATACTTCCAAAGTTGTGGCAAAATGGCTTAAAGACAACAAAGTCAAGGTATTGGAGTGGCCATCACAAAGCCCTGACCTCAATCCTATAGAACATTTGTGGGCAGAACTGAAAAAGCGTGTGCAAGCAAGGAGGCCTACAAACCTGACTCAGTTACACCAGCTCTGTCAGGAGGAATGGGCCAAAATTCACCCAACTTATTGTGGGAAGCTTGTGGAAGGCTACCCGAAACGTTTGACCCAAGTTAAACAATTTAAAGGCAATGCTACCAAATACTAATTGAGTGTATATAAATTTCTGACCCACTGGGAATGTGATGAAATAAATAAAAGCTGAAATAAATCATTCACTTTACAATTATTCTGACATTTCACATTCTTAACATAAAGTGGTGAGCCTAATTGACCTAAAACAGGGCATTTTTACTAGGATTAAATGTCAGGAATTGTGAAAAACTGAGTTTAAATGTATTTGGCTAAGGTGTATGTAAACTTCTGACTTCAACTGTAGGTAGGTGTGTACTTAGGTAGGTAGGTAGTTAGGTAGGTATGTATTTATGTAGGTAGGTAGGTAGGTAGGTAGGTAGGTAGGTGTGTATGTATTTATGTAGGTAGGTATGTATGTAGGTAGGAAGGTGTGTACGTATGTAGGTAGGTAGGTAGGTAGGTAGATGTGTACGTACGTAGGTAGGTAGGTAGGTAGGTGTGTGTGTGTATGTATGTATGTATGTATGTATGTATGTATGTGTTTGTGTAATCTACCTGCAGTAACAGAAGTCTCAGGTATCTCCTCGTAGATGCCCATATCTAGAGGTCAGTCACTGAGCTCCTCCAGGTAGCTGGCTGTGGTCCGACAGAAGCTCTGCATGGACAGGCCAATGTACTTCTCCCTGATGAACAAGGCCTTCACCACACACTTAGCAGCATCCAGCAGGTCTGTGAAGGGAACCTGGAGGTGAGCGAAGGGGTCGGGAAGAGGAGGCACAGGTTAGTACTGCCAGTCCTACTTCTAGTCTCCTACTACCGAAGGAATCCGGTTCGGAGAAACAGGTAACATGTCGGAAGGTTGGCTGCTTGTGGTAAAATCCAAGTGGAGAGAAATCAAAGTTTTACATAGGACCTTTATTCAATACCAATGAGTAAAGCCAGGGAACCTTACTGAATAAACTCAAAGTGTTTACTGTGGTGGAAGCGGTAACGGCCGTTGGGGATATTTCTGTGACCTACCCCACATTTCTCCTCTCCAGAGATGGAGACTCGCTGGTACTCCTTCTCTCCTTCCCTGTCTTTCTCCTTCGGGTACAGGTCCATGAATGCCTGGCTCTGCTCCTTCAGGTATCTAACACAAGATGATCATGTTTATTCTATAATTTTTATTATATTCTACTGAAGCCATTTACTTCACGTTCGTATTCTTATATCTTGTATTATATCTTATTGTTGTTGCATTGTCCAGAAGGAACCGGCAAGTAAGCATTTTGTTAGACGGCGTATACCATGTGTATCCCATACATATGACTAATACAACTTTAAAATATAATAATAGTAATTATTAAGTTTCAAGGGGGACTGTTTTAAAGACTGTGTTAGCCTACTTAGCTAAAGCGTATAGGCATCATCTTAGGGAGCTAACGCGAGTCTCCTTATTGTACTCACTCTAGGTCAGTAGCGCTGTCAGTCTTCATGAACTCCTGTTTGGCTCGGAGAAGGATATCTGGCTCAAACCTGAAGAAGACATTAAGAAATACTTTTTTAGAGACTTCCAACATGATCCCATTGTGATTCATGGGAAATTGTTGCTGAATGTTAATTGCCACTATCTCTCTCTCTCTCTTACTTGACATCCTGGCTGATCTGTCTCTCTAGTCGTTGTTGTCTCTCCTCCAGCTGTTCTATTGGGCTGTCTTCAGGGAACTCATAAAAATAAAAAATAAATAAAATATGCCATTTAGCAGACGCTTTTATCCAAAGCGACTTACAGTCATGCGTGCATACATTTTTGTGTGTGGGTGGTCCCGGGGATCGAACCCACTACCTTGGCGTTACAAGCGCCGTGCTCTACCAGCTGAGCTACAGAGGACCACTCATAGGGGGCGCTGAGCATATCACGCTCTGCTATGCTGCGAGAGAACAGCTCCTACATGGACACAGAGAGGAAATGAGCTGGAAAATCCTCAGTTATTTAAATGCAGTTTATCCACTTGTGTGGCTGAAATTGGTAAATGTTGTTAAATTCCATCTTTCTTTCTATCTCACGCACCTCAGCGATCTCCTTGTACTTGCCGTCCATGGAGGTGCGCAGGTCAATGTTCTGTTTCAGCGCTACGGGGATCGCCATGGGGATCCCTGGCAAGGAATGCTGGGAAGTCAGGAGGTGGCGGGCACCACGGGGGGTCAACGGAGAGAAGAAGATATATAATATAGAGAGCGAGATCTATATAGAGTATCGAGAGAGAACGCTATATCTAGAGCTAGAGAAGCTCAGAGAGATATAGAGAGAGAGATATCGCTCAATCTAGCCTCGATGCACGAGAGATCGCTCGTCTCTTCCGCCGCTCGCGCGTGCTGCTCTCGCGCGCTAGCTCTCGTCTCCTCTCTCTCTCTTCTCTCTCTCCGCGTTTCGCTCGCTCTCGCTCTCTTCTCTCTCTCTCTACTCCTCTCTTCTCTCTCCTCTATATAGAAGCTAGAGACCACTTTGCTACTCTGCCTTCAGAATCTGCAAACATATCCGTCTTTTTACAAACACAAAAAAACACCACTCTGCAATTGCAGTATCAAATTTATTAGCCTATCCCGCGCGAATATATCAGAAATCCAGAAAGAGCCGTTCAATTCAGAACCCCTTAACATTAAGGCTCCCAAACCTTGCCATAACAAAGCCATCACGCCATCAGTCACACACCTGAAGAATAAATTATAACTAGAGAAGATTCCTCTAAGAACTGGCCTGGGCTCTGTTCACAAACACAAACATACCCCACAGAGCCCCAGGACCAGCAACCAATTAGACCCCCCAAATCATGAGAAATCAAAAGAGATTACTTACAGCATTGGGCAAAATAATTAAATCCAAAAACAGAGCAAACTAGAATAGCTATTTGGCCCTAAAACAGAGAGTACCCCCAGTGGCAGAATACCGGACCACTGTGACTGACCCAAACTTACGGAAACTTGACTATTACAGACTAATGATCATAACCTTGCTATTGAGAAAGGGCAAGAGGCCCGCTGTAGGCAAGCCTGGCTCTCAGAGAATACAGTCTAATTTGCCAACACTGCTTACTGCCCACGCCCACTGCCCCCACAAAATGATGTGGTAAACTGAGCTGGGCATTTTCTAGTTTCTAAACCTCCTGCCGAAATCCCTCAATTTACCACAGACCCACGAAAGTAATTACCAAACAAATCATCCAAAATCAATTAACAAATCAAATTTTGATACAACTCACTATTGGGTGAAAATAAAAAATACCAACAGTGTGCAAATCACAGCAGCAAGATTTTGTTGAACCTGTTGCACGAACAGAAAATTTCCCCAACAAAACGTAAGAACAACCAAAACACCATTTGTAATTAACTAACCCCATTTATGTTTTATTTTAATTGTCCCTGTTGTACTTTAACTATTTGCACGTTGTTACAACACTGTATATATCATAATATACATTATAAATGTCTTATTCTTTTGAAATTCTGAGTGTAATGTTTAACTGTTAATATTATTGGTTATTTCACTTTTTTGTTTTACTATCTTCGTACTTCACCATTTCACTTGCTTTGGCAATGTTAAGCACACACGTTTCCCATGCCAATAAAACCCTTAAATTTGACTTGAAAATTGAACTGAGAGGGGGGTGGGGGGAGAGACGGGAGTGTAGACGAGAGAGCGAGATAGCTATAGAGATGATAGCATTTGCTCGTATTGCTAGATCATAGGTGCGCGCTACGAGCGAGCATCTCGAGCGTCGCTCTCTATCGCTCAGACGCTATCGCTCTGCCGCTCGCTTCTCCCTCTCTTCTCTCGCTGCTATCGCTCTCTATATCTCTCTCTCTCTCTTCGTCGTCTCTCGCTCTCTCCTCTTCTCTCCGTCTTTCTTTCTCCTCGCGTCTCTCTTCTTGCTCTCTCGCGCTCTCTCTCTCGCCTCTCTCGCCCTCGCTCTCTCTCCGCTCGTCTCTCGCTCTCTCCTCGCGCTCTCGCTCTCTCTCTCTCTCTCTCTCGCTCGCTCTCGCTCTCTCTACTCTCTCCTCTCTCTCTCTCTTCGTCGCTCTCTCTCAGCTCTACTCTCTCTCTCTCCTTCTCTCTCTCTCTCCTCTCTTCTCTCTCGACTCGTGCTTACGCTCTCGCATCTGCTCTCTCGCGCTTGCCCGGTTCTCTTTGTTCCTTTTGTGCGTTTTTCCCTCCCCCGAGCTCTAAGGGATGTCTATCGGCCCTTCACCTGTGCCAAATCAGATGTGCGTTTTTTCATTTCTGCTATGCTTAGCCAACTCCACAGTGTCTGGCAGACAGTGGTTGTTCCCCAGCCTGACGGTCAAACAGTATACAGAGCAGTACAGAAACAGGGAGTCAGCCCAGTGCTTGGGGTCTGAGCTCAGCTTTTTGTACGTTCCACAGGCGCGCATTCAAGTTCAGCACAAGCAAATCCACGGCCAAAGTCCCCCCCGGACTACACTTGCCACGTTCCATAGAACTTCGGCCGTTGGGGGGGGTGGGGGGCGGGCCTGGAACCTCCTGACTCCATTTTGCGTCAGGAGTTAGCCAACCATGGTTAGCCAGTGCTGTGATAAGATATTGTGTAAAATAAATAATTTTAATAATTTCTCTTCACTGTATGTTTCTTAGCTAGCTAGCCAGCCGGTTTTAGAGGAATGATTCTATCTTTTTTTTCTAATTAACTGTCAATATGCCAACATTCCATTCAAACAATGCAGTCAATCCACAGCCGTACACTGGTTGAAATCAGTTGATGATAAGTTGTAAATGCAGCAAGTGCTGATATTATCATATAATAGCACTTGCAGGTTTCCAATAAAAAAAAATTGAGACATTTATGGTCTGTTTACATATATTTTAGAGGCTATTGATATAGAAATTGGTATAAAAACCTGTATAAACTGTATTTATATTTATATGAGAATATTTTAGATTGACAATGATTATAGTATTTATTAAAAAAAAAAACATTTTAGTCATTTTAGCAGACGCTCTTATCCAGAGCGACTTATAGTTAGTGAGTGCATACATTTTCATACTGTCTGACATATCACATGCCTTAGATGAGAGATGCTAACATTAACATGAAGTGAATACAAAGTGGTTGAAAACATTCAGGACAACATCTAGCAGACAGAGAGCCATCTGCCAGCCAGCCAAAGCCCCAGGAGAGCCATCTGCCACCAGCCAGACATACACCAGATATCCAGCCACCATCCAAAGACGACAGCCACCAGAGCGCCAGCCGATACAGACAGACATCCAGATAGTTGCCATCCAGAAATCATACAGCCAGACAGAACAGAAACCGCGAGCCGCCAGCTCAGCCAACATTCCTCCAGATCCAGACATACAGCCATGACATGTGATATTATTTCACCTTCTTTTCCCCCAGAGTGTATTTAGCGGTCAGCAGTGTCTGTGTGTGCAACAGTACTATTCTTCCCCCCCAAACAGCAGACTAGGATCTAAAATATTAATGTTCCTGTTGAATAATGAATCCCTGGTAGGATGTATGAGGGGCTGCTGCCCACCAGTATATGCACACACAGTGCATATGGTACCCAGGTCTTACAGTGGTATGATAGCTAGTACATTATAACTGTAGAGCATATACTTGGCTGTGTTGTCATTGAAACA